TGTGTATATGTATATATATATATATATATATATATATATATTTATAAATATATATATATATTTATAAATATATATTTATGTCCAAGTTAGAGATGATTCCAAGTGATTGTTTCGAATGTGATCAGGATATTTCGTGAACGATTTGAGCGGGATGAATGAAGGAAGATCTTTTGAATCCCGACATGAACTTGACTTGAGTCTAGCCAGTAATCCAGAATCAGGAATCAGGATGCAGGGTGGGAGGGGTAAGTGGGGTCGGTCGCCCGATCGGGAATTTCGTAAGTAAAAGTACATTAAGGTACATAAGTGGCAGAAGCGCAAGACATGACGGCAAGACTTCACGGCAAGACTTGACGGCAAGACAGACCGGGCGCAGAAAAAGCATTCATTTCAACTTCGCACTTCAATAGTCCGATTCGTAAAAGCTACTCTCAAGATACTTCGGCGAAATCAATGACAGCTGCCGCTACAAGTGCTACAAGTGGAGTGGAGCGAGCATGAGCAAGCCAGCCAACGATTTGATGTTCGGAAATTCGAACTTAGGCGCAAAGACAACAAGCACACCAGGGGCTCTGCGCGAAATAGTTTCATGGCTTTCATGCTAACAAATTAAAGTATGGCTCCATTTGCATTCCATTCATCCAGTTTGTACTCCACCCACCAAGATGCAGAGAAAAGGAGGTTCGGTAGCCGCAAGTTCAGCCACGTTATGGAAAGCCCGAGATCCGCGCCTCGAACTTTTTAGAAGAAACTCAAGCCCCGAAGAGAATACCTGCTGCGCCAATATTACACCGCCGTAAAAGAGAACCGTGAAATACCATCCGTCAATTATGAAGTCATCTTTTAGATGCGGTGCTTTTCGCTCTCTGAGGAGAGTCAGAAGGGTGTTTCATATAGAGGAAAGGGTAAGAGACGTACCAAGTCGTGAGTAGAGCATATACAGAGCCATTTGGTTGCACTCGGCAGTTCCAGTGATGGTGACCAAACGCTCGTTGCTGTTGTCTTGAGGCTCGTTGATCTTGATGACACTACCGCTGAGTTGTCTGATCTCGTTGATCTTCGCACCACCCTTACCAATGATAGCTCCGACCATATCATTCGGAATGAAGATCTGTTGCGTCAGTGGCTGACCTGGGACAACAGGACCACCCTGGGGGGGGATAGGACCGGCATGTGGGCCAGGACCACCCATGTGGGCTTGGTGTGGTTGTTGCGGACCAGTTCCTCCGTAACCACCTTGCACAACTGGGGAGCCACCGTAGTGCATTGGATTGCCTGGTTGTTGCGGCTGTGGTTGACCGTGGCCAGAGTATGGTTGGTTGTATCCTTGGCTAGGGGTCTGATGAGGGCGCTCCTGATGACGGCGATGATCAGGGTGACCAAAGTTTCCGCCAGCTGGTTGAGGAACATAAGGGACGACTTGCATGCCACCAGGGACAACCCCGGCAGGGCCACCACTCCGAGAGGCGTAAGCAGAAGCGGCGGGGCCTCCAAATCGCTCTGAAAGCTGCTCGAAGAGCGTGCTACCAACATAGTAAGTTGCAATATGAACGGCATCGGCAACACCCAAAACAACGAGAGAGCGTTCTGTCGATAGGGGGAGGCATGAATCGGATGCGTTGAGACGAGCACCGGAAGCTTCTTGGATCTCACGGATTCGCACGCCTCCCTTTCCAATAATAGAGCCAATCAGGATATGGGGGATGAGGAGACGAAGTGGGTAGGTCTTGGACTGAGCACTGGATGGAGCTTCAAGGGGTTCATTGTTAAGGGTTCGTATAATGAGACCAAAGGCCTAGAAGAATCAGCACTCTCCATAAACATACACAAAGCTTGGACATACCTTTGCTGCAGCATCAACGACACCACTAACGGTAAGAATCCGCTCGACCGCACCCTTCTGGTAATCACTGACAGTGCATTTCGCCCCGGACATCTTTCTAATCGAAGAGACATTCTCTCCACCCTTTCCAATGACTGTAGCAGCCTCGGCACTGGTGATAACAGCTCGAATATGAATCCATCCGCTCTCATCGTGCTGAAGGTGTGATCCACTAGCTGGCAGGTCTTGGGCAGATGTACTGGTACTCTCACTTTGTTGCGCACTAGCATCTGGAATGACGGTATCGCCCTGGCCGTCCGTCGCCTCGACCTTGGTGCCGTTGGTTGCTTCAGGCTTCAGATCGCCATTAGAGCTGACCACAGGTGGCTCGACAATCTCTGCTGCTGGCTCTGACTCTTCACCTTCTCCCTTAACAACCTTATCCAAGGCGGGTCTCTTGGCTTCAGGTTGATCATTTGGGGCGGAAGGTGAGGAAGGATCTTCGAGAGGTCGCTTCGCCGATTGGATAGGAGCTGCTGTTGGTGAGGCAGACATCTTGATCGATTGCTATTGGTTAATTTCTTCACTCAAGATGGAGAAGTGGTCGGGAAGGAGGTCGAGAAAAGTTTGGATTGATCGTTATGTACACCACGGGAAGGGTCTTCGGAAGGAAAACGTGCTGGTGTTGGTAGATCGTGAAGGGGTACTGCGTGCTTAACGTGAATTGGTGAGAAGAGAAGACTGGATTGGTTTGGATTGATTAGATGGATTGGTGTCGTGGGGAGGAAGCAGATGAGGGTGCGCTGTAAAGACAAGGAGACAAGCCTTGCGATCTGTCGGGCTCTTGGGTAGGAGGAGGAGGAGGTTGAGGTGGATTGGGCGCAATGAAGATGTAGATGTGTAGAGGAATGATGACCCAGCGCGGCCGATTGAAGAACTCCCTCAGCCTTGTTCTGGACAGAAAAGCAGTAGAGTAGAGACCTATCCTCAAACCTTTGGGGACCTTCAGCTTTCCAAACGTGGTTCCCGTGTGCAACTTTGTTCGTTGAATCGGTTGATCCTTCGGGTTCGCGTTCCTGTACGGCTACTGTGGAGAGTAGGGTGATTTCCTTGTTGGGATGTTTCTGTCTGTCTTGTTTCGGGAGAGGGCAGCCTGATGTCGTGGATGAAAGCCTCTTCCGATGTTCGCGAGAGCTTCAATGTGGTGGGCGCAACAGAGATTCAATAGTCCACGAGCCGATGAGGTTGGGAGGGAAAGAAAAGAAGAGAAGAGGAAAGAAAAGGAAGTTGATGGAAGAGATGAAGGTAGTTGAAGTTGAGGTTGAGGTTGAGATTGAGGTGGAGTTTGGTATGGAGGAAGATTTGGAAATGGAAGTTCCAAGTTCCTGGCCTTGTCATTGATCCAAGCTAAAGTTCAGGCCCTAGCGCGCACGTGACTGATCGACATCGCGCTAAGACATACGTGCGTGTTACACGGAGGGAGGCCCAGGCGAGGTTCGGCCAGATCGATATATTGCTTCAAAACAATGCTTATCTCGTTATGTCCATGCACCCACTGGGAACAACAAAGCAAGGTCCTAGCCGTTACATAGAAGCCAGTCATGGATTCGCAACAGTCCTCTGAGAGCCCAAACTCCCATACTATGCGTCTGGACAAGACTCTCAAGTCCCTGCAAGCTAGAGTCAGGGAGCAGGAGGCACTGCTGGAAGAGGTACACATGCTGCGACTTATTGCGCGAGTCTCCCATACTAAAAGAATGCCATAGCTCCGAGCATCTACAACCCCACTAGAAGTTGAACCTTCGTCGGACCGCAAGACCCTCTTGCAGCAACTCAGAGCCCTCAAAGCTGCCTACGAATCCCTCACACCATCCCAACCATGGCTTCCACCTCATACATCTGCCATTCCGGGTCTTTTAGCTCTAAGAGTAACAGATAAGGTCATTAAGGAAAGCGAGGATAGCCTAGTGCAAACGGAAGCTAAGCTCAAAACCCTAAGGCGAAGATTAGAGCAAGAATACGGAAATCTCAAGGATGCAAAGTTGATACAGTCCGAAATGGAACTGCGCATAGCATCCCTTCAAGAACGAATAGAAGAGCGAGAACAGCAGTCACCCAGTCAGATGGCCAATGAGATGATCCAGGCAGTGAAGCAGCGGAAGACGTTTTACGACAACGAGACTGGCAGGTTGGTCCAAGCATTTAACAGATTCATCGATGATCATCTTGCCGCTATGCTTGCGGTGGAAGAGCTTGGAGGCCCCATTGTCGGGGAGATACCAGAGGTTGATGATGAGCTCCTGGAAGGCGAGTTTAGCGCACACGGGAAACCGAAAAAGGGGAAACCGAGCGAAGACAAGCGGCAACGTCGTATCGATCAGATATGGGGCCCAAGGCCAGAGGAGGAGGAGGAAGAGGGTGAAACTGAACCGCGGGACGAGAGACGCGTTGCGGCAGCTGAAATGCGGGACTTGACAGAGCAACTGTTGAATGGGTTGGTAGATACAGAAGGCATCGGTCCTGCTGCGTACGTTGACCTGCAGAGGGAGTCAGCTGCGGCTAGATTTCTCGTCAGGTCTAAAGTTGCTCAATTCCACCCCAGGGATGCCAGAAAACTTCGATTGATCGACTTTGGGAGCGAGATTGACGACTGATTTTAGTGGATGAGCCAAAAACTTCCCTCCTGAATTTGACTCCGCGCTCCGCCTTGCAATGCCTGTTGACATGGACCATATTTAAGCGACATAGCTAATGCCATGAACCGAAAATGGACTTTCAGCCCCAGGGATACTCACGATATCGTTCTTTCTTGATGCTTTTGCACCAGAATGGGATTTCTTGGAAACATGGGACGCCTGATACTCGTCGATGTCTACAGCGTCACGTGAAATTTATTCTTTTCCCATGTTTCCGCCTCTGGGCTTGCCGAGCGCTTCAAGTCACAAAAGAGTCGAGCGCCATTCGCTCTCAGCACTGGATGCATTGGAATGGAGTTCCTGGTTGCAAGGAATTTTATCGCTCAATATCAATCTTTCATCGCTCTTCCGATAGTCGTCGGTAGCCTATCGGGCAGCTCCCACTTGGGGCATTTGTATGCGTAGCTTGAGTTTCGGCTTTTCGCTTCGAAAGGAGTCTGCTGCCCACAGAATATATGTTTCCATTACCTTTTCATCCATGCTACAACTGTGCTACATCTCGTATTTTATTTCTTCGCAGCTTTTTCGGAATTTCAGTATCCAAGCATTGACAAAGCCCTACCGCCTCACAGCGAGTGAAGCTCTACCTCTGCTCAGGAGTGGCGAGCTCACAGTAGAAACCTACGCCATATCTCTCCTCGCTCGCATCAAGCTTCGAGACTACGTTGTGAAGGCCTGGGCAGTTTTGCACCCTGGATTTGTTCTTGAGCAAGCACGGAAGCTAGACCAGATTTCAACTGAGGAGAGAGGGTCGCTACATGGGATACCTGTTGGTGTCAAGGATGTGATTTCATGAAGGGTACCACCCCAATCACCCAAATACTAGAAGCCATAAGCCGGATCCCCCCCACTCAACCTCGCACTCAGGCGCTTTGCGCTCCTCCAGCCAGCTCCTGTTCACCAGCACCAGCATACGCCCCAGACTCTTCCTCACCACAAAACTCGCTTCTTTAAACCGGCGGGCAGACAAGCAGCGTAAGATGGTACATGCCCTCCAACTCCTCGAAGCGTTGCTTGATAAAATGCACATGCACTGGCTTTGATTCAAGCTCCACACCACTCTCCAACATGTCTGCCAGAGCACCAGCACCACTCTCTCCTCATGGTACCAGCCGCACCAGAGGGGTGGGATACATACCGGTGAAGGTGGTGTTCAGATCGTTCCACTTGGCGGCAAAATCATCCTGAATAGTCAATACGATTTTTCAACTTGCTTACACAAACTTGATTTTTATTGCATTTGATTCTTAGGACACGGTTTCTGTAGGAATTCATCAGAGCTTGATTAATAGCTCGTTGCGTTCGCCGCGTAATTCGTTTATAAGTGGTCCGTACACGTAGTTATTATATTAAGAAAGAATGAACGAAATAGTTAAAAAGTATTCGAATTGCAGAAGCAAATCGAGGTAGCAAAGAGTTCAGCTTTCTTTAAGTTTATAATTAACGGGAATATCTAATTAAAGTACTAATACTTAAAGGTAGAATGATCGCCGTTTATTGCATATAAGGGTTAAGTTGCAAAAGCAGTTCGAATTCTTATAAACGCAACGAAGCTGTAAGTATAATGGTTTTTAGCGAGTTGGAATTGACCTTTCTTTATATTAAGGCTACCAAAAATAATATTGTATTTGCTACGGCTGAGAAGAGGAAGTATTGTATTAGCTACCAATCTGTACGCTTGATATTGAGAAGGAAAGACGAGGAAGGGAGAATTAGAATACAGGAGGGCGCCGAGGTCTTGTACCGTGGGGCGGCCGCTAGCTTCTGCTTACTAATCCCCTATTCCCCCATTCCCCCAAGGCCTGAGGCCTGCTAGCACCGTAACAGTACTACTACTTAAGAGTACGCTTTGTATTTAAAAAGAAAACGAAGCAGGGAAGTTAGAACTAGGTATATGAAATAGGGTCTTATAAGCAGGCGGGCTAAGACGGGAAGCAAAGGTTACGAGGTAACATGTAACCTATGTGCGTACTCAAGGCCTCGTGACCTGCCTGCCTTACGGAGTAGCGTCGCCACCACCGCAACAAAATATATAATTGAATTAATAGTCAGTGCACTGACTTTGTGACCTGCGGGCTCTCGGTCACAGTCAGGGCAAGCAAGTGTCCCAGGTCAAGCAAGTGTCCCATTTCAATTATTTCAACTTATATTGAAATAACTTAGCAACGAATATTGCTATAATATTCAAAACTAGATGCATAGATCGGCGTAATCGAGATCTTTGAAAGTCTAACCAAGTGTAAAATCTTTTTATTAACAATTTAATAATTAATAAAATAAATAATGTTTGTTGATCGATTGAATTTGATTGAAAATCAAATATTTTGTATTGAAAATTTTATATTTTTTGATATTAATCGGCTTGCAAATTGAATTTTCATATAAAAATTTGATATTTAAGAAACTTTGAATCAAGCGAACTCGTACCATTTAATATTTTTACTATAACTTTAATAATTATTATTTTATTTAAGTTATAAATATAATCGAAAAGTTGATGTTCTTGAATTTTCGCTAAATTGTCCGAGCTTTTTTCGCTGTTACAATTGTAATTTTGCGTAATAAATATTATTTTACTTATTTTAATAATAAAAATATATAATGTATTTTATAAATAAAGTGTAACTCACTTATATGGATTCGCATATTTAATTTTTATTGCTATAGCTTTTTTTGTTATGACTTATTCTTAATACAAATCGCGATTTTCGATTCTTTTCGATAGAAAATCCCCAAATTTTTTTTTACGATTTGCAACTTGAATTGCTTGATAATAAGAAGAGCTATATTGATAAAATTTGAATGCATTAATCGGCGGAATCGAGCTCTTTAAGAGTATCAAATTTTTAATATTATAGCTTTATTCGTTATTAAGTTATTTCTAAAACAAGTTGAAATAATTGAAATGGGACACTTGCTTGACCTGGGACACTTGCTTGCCTTGACTGTGACCGAGAGCCCGCAGGTCACAAAGTCAGTGCACTGACTATTACTTATCTATTCCAGGAAATTTCATTTTCCCTCGAGAGCAGGCTTTTTCTTTACTTTTCAGAATCCCCCGATCTAATTTTCGGAATTCCATTCCGGGGCTAGCGAGAACCCAAATAGTTGGAGGGTAACATGCAGTCTGATTGCCTAGTCTTGTACTCGAGCTGTATGGAATCCTGCTCAGATTCCAGTAGACATCTAAAATATTGAGAAAACAGCTTAAGAATTCGCCATCGCATTCGTCGTGCGAGATGCTTGCTGATACCTGGACAGGGGGAATGATTAAAATATCAACGGCTTTACACCTCATGCACTTGCCTTCTTCCACGTGCAAAACGTACCGAAAAAAGAAATGTTTGCAAAAACTCATATGCATGTATTTCAAAGCATGAGATGGCAGATGCCGATTCAAATAAGAGCATGCAATTAATAAGGTAGGCTAACCTTCCTGTTTAGTTAAGCTTCACGAGCTAATTCTGACCTCATCAGCCTTTGAACCCCCACCTTAGTATTAATTGCCGCACACAAATAGGTCGACCTTCATTTGAATTTCTTTCCTTTCGACTCTTGACCAACACTCCATTCATAACCTTTCGCATCTCTTCTCAAATCTAAACACCCCACAGAAAATATCGTACCCCGAAAATGGCCTTATACGCCATACCCCCTGCCTCGGCTCCTACGCAGCCCACCCCCTTCAAAGTCAACATCCCGGACAGCGACATCGCCGATTTCAAGCAGCTTTTGAAGCTATCAAGAGTCTCCAAGGAGACGTATGAAAATGTGCAGACGGATCGAAGATTCGGTGTCAGTCGTGAGTGGATTATGAATGCGAAGAAAGTTTGGGAGAGCGAGTTCGACTGGTGAGTCTTATTTTGATGAATGCTTTTGGTGGCGGATGTTATGCAGAAAGGGGTGGGCACATATATAGGTATTTATACATCACTCAAGCAAGAGACAGTTTTCGGCGATCCGTCGCTGGCTGTGGTCAAGGCCCCAGCTAGTCAAGTGACATCGAAGTCTCTTTCGCCATCCAAGGCTGGTTCAACGTTCTTAACCTCCTCAAGGAGAGTTAACTTCATCGCTTTTACATCTGCTCTTCTCCATCTAAAAAACTTGCTCACAAAGGCTCAGGAAGAAATCAGAGTCCTACATCAACACTTTCCCTAACTTCACCATTCCCGTCACAACCGAAGCTGGCAGTTTCACCATCCACTTCATCGCTCTGTTCTCGACCTCACCGACCGCAACTCCCCTCCTGTTACTCCACGGCTGGCCGGGAAACTTTCTCGAGTTCCTCCCCATACTCGCCCTTCTCAAGGAGAAGTATACGGACCCTGCTCAGCTGCCGTACCATGGTACGTATCCTCCAGCGTCTCTCTTCTTCTCAATTACCATCTGGACATGATATAGAGGAAGACATTGACTATCCACTGCAGTCATCGTGCCCTCCCTTCCCGGCTACGCATTCTCCAGCCCACCACCTCTAGACCGCGAGTTCGCAGTCCGAGACGTCGCCCTCGTCATGGACACTCTCATGCACAACCTCGGTTTCTCCTCCGGCTCTGGCTACGTAGCGCAAGGCGGTGATTTGGGTAGCGAAATTGCCAAAGTCCTCGGTGGTGGCGAATTCCCCAGCTGCAAAGGTCTCTCCTTTATCCATCTTCCCCCTTCCCCTTCTCTCTCCCCTCTCCAAATCTATCACGCCGTCAAGGCTAAAAGCCCCCCACAGCCGTCCACGTAAATGTCAACTTCATTATCTCCGCACCCCGAGGTCTATCCGAGAAGGAGCAGTCGTTCACAGAGGCAGAAAAGAAGATGCTAGCACGGGGCCAGGCGTTCATCACCACAGGCGCCGCGTACGCTGCCGAGCACGGCACCCGACCCTCCACCATCGGCCTCGTGCTCGGATCAAGCCCGCTAGCCTTGCTGGCCTGGATCGGCGAGAAGTACCTGGAGTGGACGGACACCGACCCCTCGCTCGACGCAATCCTGGAGAGCGTGTCGCTGTACTGGTACACGCAGACGTTTGAGAGCAGTATCTACTCCTACCGCACAGTACGCTTCCCTCTCTCGCTTATGCCCTCCGCTCCGCTCCTGTGTTCAGTGTATCGACATCCTTCTAACCTCTACCCACTAGCACTTCCCACCCAAAGACCAACAACCCATGATTGCCTACGTCAGCGTCCCCTACGGATTCTCCAATTTCCCAAAGGAAGTCGTGCCGGTTCCCAAAAGCTGGGCGGCGGCTGCCGGGAATCTAGTGTTCTACCGCGAGCACGATACGGTACGTAACACCCCGTATTCGAAAATATCTCCCTTCCTTTTAAATTGCTATCTTGGCTGCTTGTACCGGTGCTTGCACCTTCGTGATCGAAGAGCACGAGAAAGGAGGCTTTGGAGGCTGCATGCTGGAGGATGCGGGTTTTGGCATTTCGGACGATGACAGACAAGGTTCAGAAATAATCGCTAATCTGCGAGCAGGGCGGACACTTCGCGGCGCTGGAAAACCCCGAGGTATTGCTGGGCGATATCGAGGACTTTATCGCGCAGGTGTGGAAGGTGTGAGCTCATGTGATGCAACGTTGTCTCCAGTCTGAGACCTGGGATACTGAGAAGCGGAAGGATCCGGGGCAAAGATTCGCAGTCATTTTTCATTTTGCTCATATATTTGACAATCATTTTGCTCATATATTTGATAATCATCTCACGTCAGTTCCAAAATAGGCACTACACGTCTGAAACTTATGACTCGCAGAATTCCCGCTCATTTTTACCCATCAGGCCAAAGGTCCCTGTAGTGGTAGATCCCTCGAACTTCCTCCAACGAACACAGTCTTTGGGTAGGGACTAACAACCCAGTTCTGAGACACTGGATCCCAGTTGGAGATATCTCTCCTCGTGAGGTTAACCTCGAACGTCTGGCTCTCGCCTGGGCTAAGGGTCAGATCATCGAAACCTCTCAGTACCGTGACGGGGTCGTCTGGTCCACCCAAGGAAACATACTGCGGCGGTGTATCAGCATTATTTCTCTAAAAAGGGGTCGACAATGGGGTGACTGAGAGTTGAGACTCACAAGCTGCGCTATCTCCGTCCCCTCGACCTCCCCTGTGTTCGTCACCGTAGCAGAGATAGTATACACGATATCGTACAGCTTGCTATTCCCGCCTGCACTCCCTCCAGCAGCAAGTTTCTTCTGCGGTGTCCCCTCCCTGCTCCCCTCTGGCCACAAAGTGTCATCATTTCCCGTCGGTGGAGGCGCGTTCAGATACGGGTATATGTATAACCTCACTGGTTTAAAACCTACAGGGAATTGAGCATTACTCGCGTTAAAATCGATATTTCCCAGCGTCGGAGCGGCTGTCGTCATGCCCGTGGTCGGTTCGTAAGGCCCAGGGTTTTGCTTCACAACAACCAAGTCGGAGTACGAGAATTTGGTGTAGGAGAGTCCGAAACCAAATTCATACGATGGTTCGATGTTGTTCTTGTCAAAATACCGGTAGTCGATGAAGATTCCCTCCTTGAAATTCAATTGAGGCGGGTCAGAGGTAGGTGTGTAGACGACGTCGACGCCCCAATCCTCGCGCGTCTTGCCCCATGTGAACACGCTCTTCGCGCTTGGATTGCGCTTCCCGTACAGAATGTCTGTGATGGCGTTTCCAGATTCTTGGCCTGGCAGACCGGCCCAGACGATGGCAGTGATATTAGGATGGTGCTTAAGCTTCTCGACTATGACGGGGCCGACTGTGTGCAGCACAACAATGGTATTCGGGTGGATCGATGCGACGTGATCAATCAGAGCGTCGCCGTTTCCCCAGAGAGTCAGATTGTTTCTGTCGCCGACATTGTTATCGACGGTAATGAAAGATTCGCCCGAGTTGGCATTTGCGAAGACGAGGACGGCATCTGTGCCAGCGATTGCTTTGGTAACGGCGTCGAAATCGTAGTTGTCACTTACGTTTGCGTATTTGGTACCATCGGACTCGGCTTGTTCTTTCAATGCTGTATTGGGGGCGATGAGGTATGGGTAGTTGGCTATGCCAGATCCCCAGCCCATCGCCAGCGTGCCTACGTTGCAGCCTCTGTCGATGCAGGCGTTGGGCCCAGCAGGGTTATCGTGTGCATCTTCGCCGATCACAGCAATACTCTCTGGTTTGTTCAATGGCAAAGTCCCGTTGACGTTCTTCAGCAAGACTGTGGAAGCACCGGCCATCTCACGACACAGCTTAGCGTGGTCAGCCTGTACATTCACATGGAAGTTGATTTGCTGATATCCCTCTTCGACCTGGGGATGGAGGAATCCAAAAGTCTCGGAGGACCAGGAGTTGAAGTTTACTGGTACGCTGGCGGTATCACGGCCGACTTTGTAATAGGCGGACATGATTCTGGTGACCATGTCATCGAGTCGCCACTGTGGGATGGTCCCATTCAGCACAGATGCTGTGAGGTTGGCGCCCCAGTAGGAGTTGCCTGATAAATAGCCCTGATCTCCTGACATTGTCATGTCGAGGCCTGCAAGAGCTGAAGCTACGCCAGTATGTTGCGCCCACCAATCGCTAACGACTGTACGCTGTCAGAGGAAGATTCAATATTCGATCCGTTGGGAGCGATGGGTACTAGATGCTCACCAAAGCCCTGAAAGTCAAGCTCGTTCTTGAGCAGATAATTCAGGATCCAACTGTTCTGCGCGGAGTAGCTGTTGTTAATCTGCTTCAGATCAGCCCGCCGTAATTTTCAAGCTCCATACAACATTGCATCCCGAAGAGGTATCTCTCACCTGGTTGTAGGAGCTCATAACCGAACCAACACCAGCCCTCACAGCGTCCGCAAAGGGCCTCGTGGAAAGTCAGCACACAAGTTCCCGAATGTCAATAGATAAACGAGCGGACTAGAAATGCCTGACCCACCATAGGTAAAGCTCGTGCATAGTCTTGTCGTCAAGATTAGCCGAGTAGGCGAACTGTACACTCCCATTGGGGGTGCGGTTGTGCTCTTGTTCATTCATGATATAGTGTTTGGCGCAAGCGACGACACCCGATTCTTGGATGCCCTTGATGGTTTCGCTCATTGAGACGCCAGTCAACACTGGATCGGGGCCGAAGCCTGATTTTCACCGTCAGCATTGCCTTTTTCGCTACTTTCTCGTTCATCAAGTTTGAAGAGTCAAAATTAACATTACCTTCCCAGTTTCGTCCGCCAGCAGGTGCCCTTCCCAAAGCGCCAGCTACAGGCCCGAGTTGGACATCGATACCCTTTCCACGGTGCTCTGCTCCCATCGCCACACCTCTCGCTTTGAGCAATCGAGTGGACCATGTTGCAGCAGCATTCATACCAGACGGAAAAACCGAGTTGAGATCAGCTGCTACGAGTCAGCCTACGCTTCTTTCTTATATACCCCTTGCAACCAGTGTGCAATGCTTTCCCAGATGATAGATATTCTTACAAAATCTGATTCCAACCGGCGAATCTTGCAAACAGAGTCCCGGAAAATCCAATCTCGGAATGGAGCCGGTATTACCCACACAAGCCTGTCCCGACCATCCAACCCCCGTCGTCAGGTTGACCTTCTCCAGCAGCGTAAGCTGGCTCACGAAAGCCTGCGCCTTTTCGTAGGCGTCTTGCCAGCCATCACCTCCTCTCATCCACGGGGAGGGATAGCTCGGGGGTGAGAAGTCCCCATCGTTTTGCGCTGCAACTCCAGCGAGGATTGCAAGGGAGGAGACGAGGAACCGCATGGTATTTAGTTGGGTAGTTGTTTACTTACCACTGTACTGCTTCGACCGACCCAAGATCGGACGAGGATAGAAAGAATGACAATGGATCTGAGGAAGAAAGGGAATGAGGGAGGTGATATATATGTATATACATTCCACGACGAGCTAGCTAAAATTGGGGCTAGAGCCAGCCTGTAGGGCACAGGATCGCAGTTGAGCATTGAAATGCACAGAATCCGATCTTACGTAGCAGATCCATCCCTACGTAGTACGAATACATGTGCGACCCAGTTCAGCCCCATAATATCGTCAAGTGGGTGGGCTCTCAATGGCCGCCTTAGAGCCCTATCGACATTATTGCACAAATTAAATGGCTTCGCTCAAAAGATGCTTTTTTAAAGCGGAGTCCTTTTATTTGATTTGATTAATTGATTAAGCTAAGCCTTGGTACAAGAGCCCTTGAAAAAATTAAATCGGAAGGTGCTTTGCTTTCCCCTTTATGCACGCATATCGAAAGCATAATTTTGCAAGGGGCCTTTCTTATCAAGACTTAAACTAATCAATTTGTAGTACAACGTATAAGAATTCAGCTTTTAAAAGTATATTTACATTAATATATAATTTATGTAATGGAGATCACAGAGCTTTAAGCCGTTCATGAACCAACGCTCTGCGACTTAAGGGGCTAAACTGGATCCGACATTTAAACATAACAGGAGGGGGGGTCATTCGGGACGGTCGGATTCCACGGATTGTTTTCGGACCGTCTCCTTCTTTAAGGGATAGTCCTTGACTATTGGGCACGGTCAATACCTGGGGTAGTCCGTCTTTCTTTCGTGAAAAAGATCGTCCCGAGACCGGAACCGTTTTGGTTCCGTTTTAAACAAACCTTTGTTCGAAAAAGCTGATATTACCAAGCCAAATATCTTGATCGCTTATTATCTCTGGGTCCTTTACATCCCCTTCTTTCGGTTCATATCTGTCGTAGAACGTTTTAAGTCTTAAGACGAGGTTTGGATGAAACCTGTTCTAAAAATTTTGACGGGGACGGCTATGGGACGGTCGTGAAATGGTCTCTTGCTCGGGAATCGTTCTTGCGAATGAACTAACTATTCTTGATTTAGAACTAGCGCTGAATTTGGACGGTCTAATGACTATCTTTTATGAAAAGAAAAGTTACAGGCCTTTAAGGTAGTACTTAATCCTATCTATGCATCTGCAATATCTGCAATGCTGCAGTAGTTCCTGTCACAATAGTAGTAGTAGTAGTTGTTCATCCGTAGTAGTAGTAGATCTTACGTACTAGCTACTACGGTACAGGCCTAAGTACTACGTCGCAGGCGTAAGTATTACCCCTCGAGGGTAGGGAAAACAGGGGGTTTAAAGTGGAAACTAAACTTTTAAGGCACCCTCGAGGGGTAATACTTAGGCCTGTACCGTGGTAAGTTGCCCCTCAATTCCAAGCTTCCCTTCCCTCCCCTTGCCTCCGGGAGTGTGCAGCTCCCCCTGGCCCTCTTCCCCAGAAAGATGGGATGTACGGAACGGAGTAACCGGAACAACCCTGTGTTACTTACACAGGGGCTAGCCTTCCTATACCAACAACGAGCTGGCCGCGGTCAAATCCGATAGCATAGTAGTACTTAGCAGAGCCTATCGGGCATCTGCCAGGCGACCCAGGATCCCTTTCCCAGTGCAACTTATGTAGTGTTACAGATCGAGATAGTACGTGGTACGATCAAGTACCTACTACGTACCATGCATTCCCGGATACCGCTAACCCGGCAAGTCTGCAGCAAAGCAGCACAGCATGCTTCCCCTCGCTTAGATTTGGGAAAAGAAAGAAAGAATAAGAAAAAGATGAAGAAAAGATGAAGAAAAAAACAAGAAGCAAAATAATTAAAAATAAAATGAGACGAAGAAAATAAGAAGAAGAAAATGAGACGAAATATGTAAGAAGAAAAAATAAGAAAAAAAATACGAAGAAAAGATCAAGAGATGAAGATAAGACGAAGAGAATAAAAAGAAAAAACATAAAGAAGAGAATAATATGAAAAAAATAAAAAGAAGAAAAACAAGAAGTGTTACGATACGCCAGGTCTCCTACGCGTAATTCCTACGAGTACCAAGCTCCTTGGCTAACGCCATCTTTTTCTTTTTATATTTTCTCACTTCTTCTTTTCCTTCTTAGCGTTTCTTTAGGTTCGCTGCCTACGTACAGTACCCACTACTACGTATAGTACATGTCGAAAGTATAATTTCGCAAGAGATCTTACCAGGGCTTAAACCAATCAATTTACGTAGTATAAGGATTCAGCCTTGAATAGGATCTTTGAGCCGGTATTTAGTCTATACAGTGGAGTTGACAGGGCTTTGAGCCATTTACTACTACGTAGTACGTAGTAGCAGTAGTAGAAACCACCGCTCTATGATTTATGGGCCTAAACTGGGTCCGACATGTATTCAAAAGGGGGGGAGAGTACCGAGCTTTGACTATAGTCAACCTTCTTGTACTACTTTTGAGGCACCCTCGAGGGGTAATACTTACGCCTGGGACGTAGTAGCTCACAGCTCCTTTCAACTTTTACTCTCGGTAACTGTTAATAATGTGAAGACCTGAAGCGATGACTTAAAGATTTTACGAGAGAGAGCAGGATTATATGGAGCTCAAGATGATCTCAAAATAATGACGCAGAATCAATAACTACCGAGAATAAAGGTTGAAAAAGGAGCTGTAAGCTAGTACGTAGTACAAGAAGGTTGACTGTATTCAGCCTCGGTAGGTAGCGAACTTCAAAAAGCGCAGATAATGAAAAGAAGGCGTTAGCCAAGGAGCTTGGCGCTCGTAGGAATATCGCGTGGGAGACCTGGCGTGTTGTCACAAGAAGCGAGAAGCGAAAGGACTCGACTCGATTCGACGCAGCGAGTAAGGTACTACACGGTACAGGCCTAGGCACGAGTACTACGTACTACTATAATTTCGCAAGGGATTTTACCAAGGCTTAAACCGATCAACTTACCCACGGTACAGGCCCAAGTATTACCCCTCGAAGGGTGCCTCAAAAGTTGAAGTTTCCACTTTAAAACCACTGGTTATCCTACCCTTGAGGGGAAATACTTAGGCCTGTACCGTAGGTAGTACGTACTACGTAGATAGCTTTGAAACCTCCTTGAATCAATACGAAAGCGACTAGTCTATTACGACTAACGTAAATTAGAAATACGTTAAAATTTTATATTATTTATAAGTTTATAAAAAAGGATTTAACTGTCTTTAAAATGGTCGATTATTTCTTATGCCTCGAAGAAAGTGGAGTTGTTTTTCCTATGCCTCAACCCACTTTTTGAGTGGGCCCGTCCAGCCAAATCTACTCGCTGCTTTATACAAGAAAAATTTTCAGTAATGCCGCTTATACTAGAGTTCTATACAATTGCAATTTTAGTATTATTATCGCGATTTGTTTAGCTATAATAGCGGAAATCCTTATTATCGACGTTGTTTTGAATGCTTTATTAAAATCTTCGGACGCTATATTTAACGACCTCGGCTTAATTATACTTGATTTTAATATAAATATAAATCTATTTCTTAAATATTCTTAAGAGAAACTTATTTCAATTTAGCAAAGCGATGTATTTTATAATCTAAAAGCTTGTAAAGACGCAGTACTTAATCAAGCTATTTACGAGCCATAAAAGCTTAAGTGTCCGAATAGCGAAAAAACTCTTATAAGATACGTATGCTACTTTAACGATACATACAAGTACCGGTAGCGCGCTCGTTGCAATTACGACCTTCGAACTAAGGAAGCTACGGTATCGGTATAATAGGGAAAATATATATGCTTTAATCGTGTTCGTAATACAAAACCGTTGGTTGCGCGGACAGCGTATCTTTTGGAATTGATTCCTAAGCTGATATCTATGTATAAAGCAGCGAGTAGATTTGGCTGGACGGGCCCACTCAAAAGTGGGTTGAGGCATAGGAAAAACAACTCCATTTTCTTCGAGGCATAGGAAATAATCGACCCTTTAAAATCCTTTCTAGACACGCCCGTCATATTCTTTCTATCTTACATTTCTAACATCTATTCATTATGAGAACAGGTTTTCTTTCAATTTATTGAAATAATGTTTATTAACAATATCGTCGCCGCAGCTATCTTAGCAGCTTTTGCCGCGACCGCAAGAAATATTAAGCTTTGCGAAAATCCTAAATTTTCAAGATGCTATTATCCCGAAGCACCAATCGATTTTTGCAGTTAGACACCTCTTTTCGACTTTTTTTTTAAAAAAAAAATTGATTTCTTTTGAAAGAAAGCTAATAAGCTTAAAGCCATTCTTCCCCTTATTACGGATACAACTAGCTCTATAGATACCGAAAGTGCAACATGCGAGTTTTTCGTATAAGCATTCAATTTCATCTTTAATAATTTGAATTTCTAAAATAGCTGATCTTAAATATCTAGTGATTATAGTTGCCTTCGAAGGTCCGGATCTTTTAATTATACCGGCCAGATTACGGAACTCAAGCTTCAAGCCGGATTTGAGCACTTTGACGATATGATCTCCTCTTTCAGATGCCGATAAAGAGCTATTCTGAATTGAATATACTACTAGTAGTACTACTATAGTTGCGGAGTCGTTAGGCGGGGGTGGGGGGGGGGGGGGGGTGGGGGGCATTGTTATGCATTTCACTCTTTCTGCTTAAGTACAGTAAAAATATCTACTACGTCCCAGGCGTAAGTACTACGTATTACCCCTCGAGGGGGGGGGTAAGCAGGGGGTTTAAAGTGGAAACTAGACTTTTGATGCACCCTCGAGGGGTAATACGTAGTAGTAGTATTACCCCCTGAGGGTAGGGTAGCTAGGGGGCTTATAGTGGAAACTAAACTTTTGAGGCACCCTTAAGGGGTAACAATTACGCCAATACCTTGGTAGTAATCGTCGGCTCGCTTAGGTGGGCCTCCTTACATCCTTTCAATCTTAGTCGGCGTGAGCGGTTGCGGATCGGAAGCCAATGCGGATTTTTCGTATACGTAGTATATTAGGAATTCTTTTATACTATGGCAGTTACTATTACAATTATAAAATATTTACATAAATAATTAATTCACGAATATAATTTTTTTCTTTTGAAATATTCAAAATCGTATTATCCGATAAAATTTTCAATTATCGATTATTATTTTCATTAGAATTTGATTCGCCTTTTACTTTACGTAATAAATCCTATGAGTCCTTAATATTATTTAGATTAAAGCTATCGCTATCGATATTAACACCTAAAAAAAAGGGACAAATCTTGCTTTAAAAAAAGTCTTTATTCATATCGATTATACTAATTATTAAATCATCGTTATCGAGAAAAGGTTTAAGTTGAGAGAGAGTTGGTCGAGGAATACCTTTTTTACGAGGCCGCAAAATCTAACGCTCAAGAGGTTGTTGCAATTATCAAATCTCTTTTGAATCGAGAATTAAAATAAATATTAAATCGTCGTCTGTAATAATTACGCCTGCAACAAAGCGTTTTCGTATAGTCTTTTTATTCTCGCGCTCAGTTTTACGCGAATCGACTCTTTTGTGATACCGGTATCCAGCATCTCTTTCTTTTTTTTAAAGCTTATTAATAATTCATTAATGTTTTACAGCAGATTTAAGATTCTCTTTAGCTTGCTGCTTAGCTTTTCACCGACTTAAGATGTTAAACCATGTTGGTATAATGAAACCTTTTGCGACTTTTCATTTTTGCTTTTCAATCAATCCTTTCCTTGTTAAGCGAGAAGATCAAAAGTTAATATTGTGAGTTGTATTCTGTATACAAAAACTAATAGTAAGGTAGAAAAATCCGCATTCGCTTCCGATCCGCAATCGCTTACGCCGACTAAGACTGAAAGGATATAAGGAGGCCCACCTAAGCCAGCCGACGATTACTGCTTAGCTAGCCAGCCATGATCATGTGTCGTCCACTCTTGCCACTTGAGATTGTTGTCTTTAGGAAATGTGTATGAGAATTACGAAAGCCCTTAACCGTACTCCCGATCGGAGTACTAGTCAGAGGCAAGGAACGCGGTTCCTAGTACCCCTCAGCGATACGATCTCTTTTTTCGTGATTTTCTTTTACACGCGATTAATTATGAACGCTGTGACTAAATTTAATGCCGAAATGGAAGATAGATACGCGTGAGCTATAGATTTCAGAATATGTAATTGTTAAATCAAACCGAGCACGATTATCGCTAAACTCCTCCTCCTTTTTCTTCTTTTTTTTCTTTCTTTTCCGTTTATTTAACGCGAGATTCAAACCCCGAAAATCATGTATTATGAAAAAGGGCTTGAACAACGCATTATCGTATAGATAATAAGTAAATCTAAGTAAATACAAATTCTTTTTGATATATATTAATTATATAATAAAAAAATTTATACACGTGTCGGATCACTGAGGGCCATTATGGCCACGATGGAAGTGGAAGGTACGAGGAGCTCTAGGCTTGGCAATGGCACGTGAGGACGGCCACAACCTTCCCTGGTAAAAACCAACCATTATCAACAACAAACCAAATCAACTGAATTGACCAGTCAATACAACCAACACTTGTGTTACCAACGATATATATTATAATGAATTGAATATAGTGCGTTGCGCAACTATCCAATAAATATAGATGCGAAGCTTTTGAATTGATCGGTGCACTTAAAAAACACGAACTTATAATAATCGATAGATCTCTTACTACTTTAGGCTATTAAAAATGAAAAGCGATATAGATTTGAAGCTAGCGATTAAACTTTTTAAGTAGGTATATGTAAACATTTATGGTTATTTAGTTATTCAGCTGTTTATACAATGGAACAAACAGTATTGAATAAGCGCCGACGAGATTGAAATACAAATATAATTGCGTTCAGAATATCTATTGAATCCTTTTTTTTCCCTTGAGTAGGTCTAATATTAACGAATTATATCGGATTTTATCATTCATTTTTCTATCAAAAAGTACGTAATTAATATTTGTTGCAGAAAAAAAGGTCAAAAAATTGGCCGTATCGCTGGAGGGTATTAGGAACCGCAACGCCTGACTAGTACTCCGACCAGGGGTACGATTAGGGCTGGACATTCAAAAAGAAAACAGTGCGTTTACTTTTTAAAAATTTCTGGAAGAACGTCTGAAGCAGCAATAGTCATATCTTGCGGCGAAGCTCTTGAGGAAGCCTGAAGAATAGAAATCCATCCCATCTGTGCTGTTCAGCTTTATGTTTTCAAAGATGGTGACATTCCATCCAATTCGCTTAAGGAAACCGCATCTCATCTTTTGATAGGGGTCGACGTCTCACGCAGAGATCCCCGTGTCCAGTATTTAGAACCAGCCTTCCCGCACATGCATAATCAGATCCCCCGATAAATTTGCTTCCTTGAGACTGATATCGGCGACAACAAGACTCCGCTGTATTGGAATGTCCACAGATGACCGGACCTTATAAACATGTCAGTAATTGAACACTAGTAGGCACTTGGGATTATTCGATATCAACCAGTAAAACTCGGAAGAAAAACCGAGGATTGATAAAGGAGTGTATAGGGCTACCTTCTGCGGAGACCGTGCTCTCCATCGTATCAGATTTGTGAGAGATCGGGCTCTGGATCTTGAGATTGTTGGTCCTGGGGTAGCTGAGTCTGAGATGGCCGAGCCCGTGGCTTAAAACTGCCTGTAAACAACGGCCTCGATCGTAGAATTGGAACCGCTGCAACGATTAGAGATTTTTCGGCCAGAGTTCCAGCCTGGTTGTTCTTGCCGCTATTGCCTCTCGCCCCTACCTGGATGCAATGGAATGTTGAGTGTGATTGTTCGTAGTGCTTGATCATCTCGCCGACGTCAAAGTAGGTGTGGCCGCAGCAGGTAAGATGCTCCTTCGTTACGTATTTCTCCGCCATCGCGAGGCTGGCTTTCGCAGGAGACCGCGGGCGGAGACCTGGGACTTATGGGCGGTGCTGTCTCTGCTGTATGGTGGTATAGCTTGCTTGATCGCCGCGGAAGAAGGGGAAGTCGAAGATGAAGACGGACCGCACTCGGCTTCTTGAGATGTATGGTAGTGGTGACTCTTACGTGCGCGTAAGGTTGTCGATGAGATGAGACTTTGAGAGGTTGTAGAGGTTTGGATGAGGCTTGCAGTAGCAGGCGGTTGAGAGAAGAGCGTGGTGTTGGAGGGAAATTGTTTACAAGCGCGAAATTTCCACGGAGGAATGTGAAGGAGCGATCCAATATGGAAGGCACCACACGCGTACTTCACGTGATCTCCATTATTGAGCCCCTTCTGCTCTTCCCGCTGCTCCCTTACCATCCCCTTCCTATAAATTTTCCGTCTTTATCGACTGAATATTACTATATAGATTCCGGCTGTTCAACTCCTATGGAGTCTCACGCGGAGGCATCGGCAAATATCAAAATCGAATAGCGCACGTACAAAATACAGGAGTCCACAAGAACTTCAAAAGCTGGAGTCTTACTAGGTGATTTTGCACGAATACTGGTGAATGATATTTCTATCTTAAGTTTGGCATAGAGGAGAAGTTACACCGCGCAATTTAACTAACCCTCGCAGTCTCGCAATAAAAATTGCGCAATACAAGCCAAAGAACATCTTAAGCTCAGCATTGCGAATTACCCCAACAAAAATCTCTCTGAGGAAGATCACAGCAAGACGGTTGACATAGAACCTGGGAGTCGAGAGCTGCTGCGTCCAAGTAGCCTGAGAGGTTTGGCCCCTCAAGACAGAATTCAAGCTCTACAGCGAGTCTCGTTCGACCTGAGGATCTCCTAACTCCCGAGCGAAGGCATTTGGTAATACTCATCTTGGAATGTGAGTTTGTGGGGGATGAGCGGATTCGACCTGATGCGAGATCAAGGTGCTTGGGGGTTATCGGTTTGAACCAATGCCAAGCATAGAGAGATCAGTCCTTCCGTATCGGTAGCAAACAAAGCACATATCATGATGGCGCAAAATTTAGACTCACAAATCCCGCGTCGCGTTATACTACTGCGGTAGACTGATCGCAAGTTTGTGCTTTGCCGCGGAGTTGATATTAAGTCCATTAAGCGGCCAACTAGCAACTCGAGGTTCGAGACCAAACTGCCGTTCTCGATCAGCCCATCTTCGCTATAACTTCTTGCAAGCTGGATTTTTCATCCCAAGTGACAGAATAACACAGCGTGTCAGGACTCTACGTACAATGAAATGAATGTTCGAGTCATGGCCATGTTCATAGTCATGAATCATCGCGATGGAGGTTGCGAAACCTTAGAAAGATATTTGCAACCTGATAGTGCGACGGGGATTACTACTAGCAAAGCGACCGATTCAGAGCACTGGTCGTACCTGTATCATATCATCTGGCCTTACACTAGCCAAAGATTACCCATGCTATCGTGATCGGTACAAAAAATCCGAGGGGATGGATACCTTAGGTGTTGATCAAATTCAAAAAGAGTCTCCGGTTTTCAAGCGATCAGTCGGACACTTTCCTCTGCATTCTTAGCGTGTTATTATTTTCACAAGTTTTGGCTCTCAAAGCTGAGATGTTAAATCGCCAACATACAGCAAAGCTATCTGCATCTACTTTCTTACTCACGGCGCTCACGAACGTGGCTGATATGGATGCGTTGCCCTTATTCCTTGGATCACATAATAATTCTTAACAAGCGCGTCGGAGTGACGCATTGGGAAGAGTTTCCATATGGCGAGTTTCGGCTGTGAAAAACGCTAGTCTAGGAAGGTGCTGTTTGAGATTGCTTAATTACCTAAAGCTTAAGCTAGGTAAGGTCCCTTGATATGATATGATCAGACAAAGAAATATGTCCAACGAGGCGATATATCAGGGTGTAGTAAGTAGAATCAATATTTAATCTTGACATTTCTTTAAGTGAGTTTATCTTGCATAATGTTATTTCCCCACGGGGGTTCTCCCAGGCATGTAGGTTACATTTCGCCTGGTTGAAGAGAAAGCGAAATTGAAAAGTTGTTCCCCTGAGCTGATGGAACTCCAGACTGATGGAATTCGACATTGAATATGTTAAATCAAGCGTCGGATATACATGGCTATCTTCCTCGCCAACAAGGCCTTGAGACACGGTGGTCTCATGCCAGCTCGTGTTGGATCACAATCACCTTCTTTCTTGAATACCCAATGCTATAGTTCTCTAGCTTTCATGTTCGGTGCCTTGACATGCGACGCTATCATTGGAATCAGGAATACATTCCATCATCCTCCCGCTTCAGGCCCGAGTTCCGGAGAACCTAACTCATGTCGATGATGTTGTTCCGTCATAAAATCTTTAAAAAATGATTATCTTAGCCGGCCGAGCTGGTTCCCTCAGAGAGGAGGCAGTTTTGGTCTCATTGAACCAGAGCCTTTACATCGATCCCGCTAAATTCACTTCTACCTTAGATTTATAAAATACTCGCAATACGGAAATGATTTGAGCGTACGTCCGCTTTGTTTTTGGAATCCCTTCTTGTCGAATTGGCACATATCCAAGCCCGTATTCAGCAACGAGCCCTTCTCTAGTCCTCTCTGTCCCCCTAGATCCCGAGCAGATCCGAGTCAGATCCCGAGCTGACTCAGGTCCGGGATCTGACTCGAGTCAGCTGCTGGTTGGAACCTCGCTTATTGGGCAATGGCCCAGCCAGCAAATACGGCAGCAATTGATTGATTGCATCATGTTTACGACGACAATGTGGCTTAGCCATGGGGCATGGAGTCGATGTGGGGTACCGGTACACCAATAGTGCGGGGAACCGCTAGACGAAATCATGGGGAGATAACAGGAGAGTTATAGTGTCGTATTTCCGATATCAGACGTCAATAGTGCCTTATTTTGAAACCTCCACCATCTTTTCGTTTACTTTCGGCTATCTCATCTAGCTCAGAAACTCATACAATGGCGCCTATTGATACATTGAAAAAAATTGGGGTGATTGGGCCGGCAGGATTTGGAGGCTCATACCTCTGCGTGGAACTCATCAACCGTGGTCATCATGTCTACGGGTTCTCGAGGAAACCAGAGACACTTGGAACTCATGAGCGATACCATCCTATCCAAGCAGACATCAACAACTTGAGCATCTCGGAGCTCGCAACACTATTTGTCGGCTTTGATGTGGTTGTGAACGAGTATGGGCCTCACAGCGCTGGTCACGAAGGTCTTCAGTACAGTAAGCTCAGCCCAGCGTATAGATACTTTGTCACAGGTTCTTCGACTGATCGATTCCAAGTGCCGTTTTTAGAAGTTACCAGGAAGCTAGTTCTAGCCATCCGTAAGGCCAAAGTCGGTTACTTCATCATGGTGGGAGGTTGCGGAAGTCTGTCTATGCCGGGTCAGCCGGATCGCAGTGTCCTCGAGGACAAAGACTGGTGGATGTCTTACCGGCGAGGAATTGCCGACAGCGAAGCTCACGTTGTCTACATGGAGAACAGACTCGGGCCCATGGGCGTCGGTATTCGCAATTACCGGACCGCACGAGCTGCGCAGGCACAGGGAAAGGAGACGGCCGAGACGAAGAAGATTATCCAAGAGTATGAGGACCACGTCCAGGCCAACGACAGGGCGCTCATCTTCGTGACTGCATGTAGAACAAGCTTCATGTTTTTCGATGGGAATACGGCCTTCCCCTGGACCTTCGTCTCGCCGCCTGCGTTGTATCGACCTGGACGCCGAACGGGGAGGTATGAGCTCCGCTTTGATGTCTTACCAGTGAAGGGAGACAAGAACGACCCGACCAATCTTGACGGTAGACTGCATGGGATCTCGGCATCAGATTTGGCTGTCGCCATTGCGGATGAGGTAGAGACGCAAGAGAAAAAGTGGAAACATTGGTCGGCGTTTGCCGACCTGTCAGATGATACTCCTTTTCCTCCGTATGCAAATCTATAGTCAGTTGTAGTCAATGTTCATATAAAAATCCATATACCCGTATATAAACAAATACCTTTGAGGGCAGTAGGAGGGCATTTCATAGGGACCCATAACCCACATTTCAAACCGATGATCACTGGACCCGCAAAAATCAGCGCTAGACTTAAACTAATAATACTTTACCGAACATACCGCTTTACTTATTACAAGAGAACGGCGGAAGACAGTCTTTTGACAAAAAGACGACCTACGTAGGTAGCTTTTAAGAATAAACTATAGTTGGAATTACTTAAAATTTTTAACTATAAAACATAGTATATTTCAAGTACCAACTGTAAGCATTCTATCAACTATGCTAATGTTTCAAAGCCGCCAAAATGAATCGTTCTCGAATGGTCAGCGCCTTGTGAAACCGTGACCCGTTTCCAGGAATCGGTTACCAGTATCGCCGACTATGCAAAGCTGGTCTCGTGTCCCGCGTCCCACTGGTGAGCTGTACAGTCGTACAAACATTACCCGGCGACCCGGTTAATGAGGTACTCCAAAGTTCGTCAAAGTCTTCCAATCGTCGATCAATCCAATTCTCGTGTGGGGTATGGGGTAATTGTGTTTGGAATTGTGTCTGGGCCTGGAGGACTGATCCGGTGATCCAAGTCCAATGCGGAGATGGGGAAAACCATACAGTTCACAATTGAACTACTCCGTATTGGTTTATATATTCATTTATGTTGCGCTCGAAAACATAAGCCTGATCATTCCATTCATCCTCCGTTCAGACCTAGAACCCTATCTCTCTCTTGGTACCACTGTTTTCCTTCTCAACCACACTCTCATCCTCTACTATGGCGCTCTCTCTGCTTCTCGATGGGCGTCCGTCCTTCTACCTGGCAGCGTTGAGCTGCCTACTTGCCGTTGCATTTCTCACATACCGCTCTCGGCGGGTACCCAGAGGGCTTCGTCGACCTCCCGGCCCAAAAGGGCTTCCTATCGTGGGTAACACCCTTCAATTAGGCCCACAGCCTCAAAAGAAGTTGCTTTCTTGGGCAGCTGAATATGGCGAGGTGATGCAGGTCCAGATAGGGTGGGAAAACTGGGTCTACCTGAATTCCCCTAGCGCGGTCAAGGAGATCATCGACAAGCAAAGCTCGATTACTTCCAGCCGTGTTCCCATGCCCGTGGGGAACGACATCATCAGTGGTGGCATGCGATTTCTTCTCATGGGCTACACGCCAGTATGGCGCAAGCTCAGGGCGATTGTCCACAAGCTTCTCACTCCCAAGGCGTCCAATGTCTTCAGGCCGTCGCAGGAGTTTGAAACCAAGCAGCTCCTGTTCGATTTGTTGACCGACAACAAGGACGACCAAGATTTCTACATGCACGTCAGGCGCTACAGTACCTCTGTTGTACTGACATCTACATACGGACTGAGAGCTCCGCAATGGGTCAGTTTTCCTTCTCCGTCCGTTTCCTCTGTTGGTAAATCCTTGGATAAGCCAACTAACGCTCGGTCTTCAGGAATGCGAAAATGTCAAGGAGATCTACGGCTTGATGAAGGAGTTTTCCGATAGCACGGCTCCGGGAGCATTTTTAGCTGATATGATTCCTCCGCTCGCGAAACTTCCCGTTTTTCTCCAGTGGTGGAGACCACGAGCGCTCAAATATCAGCGTCGACAAGTCAAGATCTGGACAAAGCTATGGGACGACCTGATTGTCAAGATCAACAACAAAACGGCCCCAGAGTGCTTTGTCAAGCAATTTTTGGAGACGGATTACAAGAAACAAGAGATCAGCGAAATTCAGGGCGCATTTATGGCAGGTACCATGATTGAGGTAATGCAGCTCAGCTCTCCCATGTTTTGGCATTCGGCTAATTCCCAACATAGGCCGGATCCGAGACAACGTCGTCTTCGTTGAACAGCTTGATTCTGTATCTCTCGGCAGATCCCGTTGTTCAAGCATGCGCTCATGCCGAATTAGACAGAGTAGTTGGCGCGACTACGCCACCGAGGTTTGAGCATGAAGACGACCTTCCATATATTCGCGCCATGATCAAAGAGATCCTCCGCATCCGGCCAGTCACGAACATGGGCACTCCGCACTACACCACCGCCGATGTGAAATACAAGGACTACTACATCCCCAAAGGCACAGTCGTCGCCATACACACCTACGCGCTCCACCACGACAAACGCTACGACGACCCCTTCCGATTCAAGCCCGAACGCTACCTCAACCACCCCCTGAAAGCAGGTGCATACGCGAGCCACCCCGACCCCTACGCTCGCGACCATTTCGACTTCGGCGGCGGTCGGCGGATCTGCCCCGGCATGCACCTCGCGGAGAACAGTCTCTTCATCACCCTCGCGAACATCCTGTGGGCATTCAAGATCGAGCCGGGGCGCAACGCCGATGGGACGGTTCAGGTTGTCGACACCTCCGACGATGCATTTGAGCTAGGTGCGAATACACTTCCGAAGCCGTTCAAGGCTCGGTTCGTTCCTAGAGATGCGCAGAGGGCGGAGATTATCCGGAAACAGTGGGAGAAGGCTAGAGAAGAAGGTTTCTTTCTGGGGGATATCAAGGTGGGTCTTGATGGTGTGGTTACCAGCTCCTGAAAACGGTGGGGGAGCATAGGAGGCGGCGTTGTCACTGTATACTTTATTCATATTACGGAGGCGTCTGATCTAGGTATTCAAAGTACTTCGACTAAATGCATCAACATGACTTCTACAAAGCTTATCGATTGATATATCGATTTTTAGATTGATATATTAATGAATAAATTGATTCATAAAATGATCGATCGACTGATCAATTATCTGCTAAATATTTTGATCATTTGATTGATTGATACTCGTATAATCCTACGGAGTATTCAATTCGCGCGATCTACTGGAATTATTTACTGACACCCCTCCAATGGATCACGCGAGCTTGTGAATGCCACACGGTAATCGCTATATGCTCACGACTATACTTTATTGATCTTATTTGATAGTCGTCAAGCTAGACAGCTCCATAATCAAATAAGGTTCCAGAGCACGATTCCTCTTGATATTTTGTACTCGCTTATCTCGGGACAAGTGTCGTACGCATAAATTGAATGCCGAATTATGCAGGGACCCCTTGCTTTGCATCGTCGCCAGTCCCAATCATACAACTCATATTATGAAGTACTACGTCGCAGGCATAATTGTTACACCCTGGAGGATAGGGTAATCAGGGGGTTTAAAGTGGAAATTCAAATTTTTGAGGCACCCTCAAGGGTGTGACAACTCGGGGGGAGTGGTAGTTGTCTTGATGTGGGGTAAACAGCTGGTGGGGTTGTTTCCCCATACTCTTCAACCTTGTTTACTTTTGATCGGCAGATAATGCGGGGTAAAAGGGGCTCGGCACGGAAGCGAGAAGTAACCCCAGATCTCCACTTTTTTTTCTCTATCTCTCTCTACCGAGTTGCACCTGACGCTAACAAGAGACAACAACATCTTGGCCTCCATTTTCGAGTCCGTCGTATATATTTCATTCATTGCTGGTCTTCTCACATTCATCCGTAGCGTTCTAGATCTTACCTGATTTGCAGGCCTGATATACATATAAATATAGACAGACATTCTCTCGATTGAGTCCACTGATAATATTACTTTGATCAACTACATCCATCATGTCCAAACCCGTCGCTATCATTACCGGCGCCGCATCAGGCATCGGCCTCGCTCTGACGCGCCACCTCCTGGCCAAAGGCTGGAAGGTTGCGATGGCCGACATCAACGCCCAACAGGGCGCCGCCGTCGCGGCCGAGCTGGGCGATTCCGTCCTCTTCATCCCCACCAACGTCGCCGTCTATTCCCAGCAGGTCCAGCTCTTCTCGCGCGCCTTTGCGTGGGGTGGCAACCGCCTGGACTTCTTCGCCGCTAACGCCGGCATCGCCGGGACCTCCGACTACTACAGGTCGAACGAGGAGCTAGACGCCGACGGGCTGTTGCAAGAGCTGGGTGTGACGACGTTGCGGGTTAACCTGGATGCGGTGGTGCAGGGGGTGTGGCTCTTCAAGCATTACGCGCGACGCAACGAAGGGGCGAAGGGCGGGAAGGTGGTTATCACTTCGTCGATGGCGGGCTTATAGTACACGACCCTTCTTTAGTTTCTTTCCTTCCTTCCATCCTTCCTTCCATCCTACCTTCATCATTCCCAGTCCACCGTCCCTATGTCATAGTTGGTCCATACCATCTCGAACTAACAGATTGCCGCGATCTAGTCCGATGGAATCCGATCCGCTATACACGGCAACCAAGCACGCCCTCGTCGGCTTCACCCGCGCCACTGGGCCGGTTCTCCAGCGTGAGAACATCACCGTCAACTGTTTCTGTCCCGCCTTCGTAGTGACCAGCCTGGCGCCCAAGGAAGTGCTGGACAACTTCCCCAAGGAACACATCACCCCGATGAGCACCGTCCTCCGAGCCTACGACATGTTTCTGGAAGACCCGAAGCTCTCGGGGAAGGTGGTCGAGACGAGTCTGGATCAGGTGTATTTCCAAGAGCCCCCCGATTTTTCAAATGAGTCCAATCGATGGCTGTCGACTGCTACAAAGGAACTCTGGCCATAGGCAATCTCAGGCTGCGGTGTTTGTATTATCTGCTGTATATGTAAACATTAGAAGAATAAAATAAAAAAAAATTGAAAATTGAAAATCGAAGACTATCTACAGTAACATTTTTTCGATATACTGAGGATGATGTATCAGATATGGATGAGAGGGAACTTTTGCCTGGCGTCCGAGTGAAGCTTGATCCACCGAATAGGGATTTCGCGGGGGAGGTAGTGATGGAATGACCTAGGAAATCGGCCCGCTTAGGCGATACTTGCAGAGACGGAGACGCGATATGTTGTGGAATTTGGGCGTCTTTGCGGATGACGATAAGGGAGAAGTGGAGTGAGTTTTTCGCCAGTCGACTAGAGACGTAATCAAGTGCGACTGTGAGTTGAAGAGATAGCTGTCTTGCCTACAGCAGTGAGGGACCGGCTTCGAGAGGAGAGGGAATGCGGTCTTTGGTAATAGTGATGGAAGGCATGATAGATTGTGACAACGCCTACGAACATATGCTATGGCTCCAGAGCCCCCTTCTTCAAACAGACGTTCCCAAGGGCCCGCTTGGTACCTCTTTCTAGAGCCGTGAATCTCCCCCCCCCCCCCCAAAATTATTCCCGATTCCCGTTTCCGAAACTCAGCTTTCGCTATCTGATAAAAAAGCCACCTTCAAGAAGAAAATTCCTCTTTAAAAACCTCTTCCTCTCATAACTCAATCTCTTTGATAAACCCCACTAAAGTAAGAGAACTAGGGAACCGCAATTCCAACTCCATATTCTTAGTTAAACCTCACATGCAATGCTTACTCCTAAGCTCTGTTATCTCCCTTTTAATCTTTCTACAGCCAAATAAACAGATTTTAAATCTATATCTATCAATCTATCAATTTGTCTATCGCTAAATCTCGCTTAAAAAGACGTAAAAAGGAAAGAAGTAATCGAGCCGAATGTTCAAATCACAATCAAATAAGATTTCAATATATTTATATACATATATATATATAACAGTTCAACATCCTTACTAGTAATAATAACAATGGCATTCATATAGAGCCTAGCTCCTACCAGGAAAAGGCGCCTATCCCCCCCCCCCCACCCAAGACATGGGTAACCGATGTATAAATCCAATTTTTATTCTTCTTTTTTCTTTCTTTTTGCTTTCTCAGAAGTTGATGCCATCCTTCTCAGCCTGGGCGAACGTTTCCCGGATGATGCGCGCGTGCTTATCCGAGCGCGGCGTGATGGTACACTCGAACGGCTTCGGGACGGACAGGAAGCCACGGACCATGGCCTGCTCGGGCTCGACGAGCTTCCCGTCGGGGCCGCGCTTCTTAGAGATGTTGAAGCCCCAGAGGGTGCGCACGGCATTGATGAAGAGGGATTTCTCGGCCACGTGGACGCCGGGGCAGACGCGTCGGCCGGCGCCGTAGGTGAAGTGGTCGCGACCGTACGGGTCGCTCACGTTGATGTACTCGGCGGCGGAGAGGGGCTTGTCGAGGAACCGCTCTGGGCGGAAGATCTCGGGCTCTGGGTGGATCTCGGGGTTCATGTGGATGGCCCTGATGTGGTGTCAGCTTGATCTGTATTAAGGGAGGGGAAAGGGAGGGGGCAATATCGGAGGACTTTATTTACTCACCACCAGTTGAGAACGGCTACAGTTCCCTTGGGGATGAAGTGGCCTTCGTACCAATCGTCCTCACTGGTCGCGTGGACCATTCCGAATTTGTTCACGGCCCGCCAGCGCAGGACCTCTTTGATCATTGCCCTGATGTAGGGAAGGTTCTTCTCATCCTCAAAGGTCGGCATCCGGTCCGAGCCTACGACGCGGTCCAGCTCTTCATGCGCCTTGGTGACCGCGTCCGGGAAGAGCGTCAAAGCCAGGAATAAGTTGTTCAGAGTGGTACTCGTGGTCTCGGACCCGGCTTCCACCAGTCCGCCGCACGTGTAGGCCGCAAGGAGATCGTCGATACCCTGTTTTTCCGGGTTGTTGAGGTAGAAGCTCTTGCAGAAGCAGTCGCGCGCGGTCCCGGCGTCCACGTCCTTCTTCAGCTTCTCCCAGAGCCCCATATAGAACTTGCTGTCGTGCTCAAAGACCTTCTTCCCAAATGTGCGCCAGTTTCCGAGCATCCACTCGGGAAGGCTGGCGAACGAGGGAAAGCTGTCGACGGCGTGTGCGCCAGGTGCCGTCATCTCCGTCAGATTGTCCAGGACCTTGTAAATGCTCTGGTTGAGGGGATCTTCCCATTTGGGTACACGATAGCCGTAGGTCACGAGCATGATGACGGATGACGAGTAGCGACGGTTGTGGTGGTAGAACTGGTCAGGCGACTCAAGAAGTTCCGTCATGAGCTGCTTCGATTCAAAGTCCTGAACCGGCTCGTACTTGACAGCGGAGGCAGCATTGAGAAGTAAGTGAGAGGCCTTCCGTAGTTGACGCCACTGTGGTCCATAGGGCATGAACAGCTGCCGGCGACCTGCACTAGCAACATCTTGGGCAAGGGGAAGAACCGCTCGTGACGAGTAAATGTTGGATTTCTTATCCATCAGGTCTTTCACGGCTTTTGGCGAGGAGAGCCAGACGTAGTCAGTACCGCCGATCTTCGTGTAAAACACATCGCCATACTTTTTCGCCCACGCACGAGCTTTGCCGCGTACCAGGTCCGAGTCGGCTAGATCGAGCATGTTGCCGATGAGAGGATAGCCTTTCGGTCCTGGTGGGAGGTGACGGCGACGACCATCCTGTGAAGAAAAGGGCGTCAGTACAGGAGGGAGAGGATTGAATTCTCATACACGAGCCGGGCAAACAAATATACCTTAAGCGAGTTTGGCACATTGAGGAAGTAAATTATGGCCCCTGTGAGGAGAGGCGTGATCACCGCCACGCCGATGAGGTGATACAGCGAAGCTTCAGAAAGGAGATGTGCGATGGACATTTTGATAGCCTTAATATTGTTGTTGTCGTTGTCGTGTCGTTGTCATTCAAGATCGGGAGTTGGGGGGAGTCTGGCTTTTATGCGTAAATGATAAGCGCCTGACAGTGCCAATACTCACTCACTCACTTTCTCCGCCTTGTTCTAACATTTTCTCTTCGCACTGCCTTTGGCATGATGTATCTCCCCCCTCTTGATCAGGGCCAAAATCTTACTCATCTCCACAATCACTGGACCGCTCGCTCACTACTCCCATGACAATGTGATTTCAGGTCTTGTCAGCCTTTCTACGAATGGAGCGAAGGATCGTTTCAAGGTGGGTTGGAAATAGATTTCTGCTCCTCCCCTTACGAAAATAGACGCATGAGATACTGAATGATGCTGAGGAGTCGGTTGGCTAGAAAGTGACATGAAAGCCTTGTCAAAATTAGTTTTCCTGCCCGCTCCTCCGTGTAGTAAGTAAGTAACGTGGGGTCGCTTCGTACCCCACCGCCTGTACCCCACCCTCGCTACAGACCTAGACATCCAAACAACGTCGAGACACCCAAACATCTAGACACCCAAACAACATCTAGACACCCAAAACACCCAGAACCTACTCATTCGCATGGGGTCCTGGGCTACCAGGAAAGGAGATTCCTCGACATTCCGTAAGCATTCGGTCGTTCACCTCATGCTCATCTGTTATGCATCATGTGGGCAATACCGATGCGCTAGTCGAGTAGATCACGGCTCCAATGGCCGCCACGTCCCCTTTCTAGATAGTAAATAGTGGCAAAATTTCCATCCGAACTTGAAACTTCCGTTTTCCCCGGACCGAGCAATTGTGATAAGAGCAAAGTCCCCCAGGGCCAACTTCTTTCAAACCGCCTTCGCCATACCACCCCAACATTACAATATATACGAAAACAACAGTTCAACTCACCCACCGCACATATCATCAACACCATGCCGTCTGCTACGAAGACCCCAGGTTTCCAAAATGTTGGTTGAGACACTCACCGTGATATCTTTCCACGTCGATGGTTGCTGACGCCGAGAAGGTCATCATCGTTGGTGCAGGTCCGGCCGGTCTTCTACTGGGACTCATGCTCTCCAAGAAGGGAATTCCGGTACGGGTGTTGGACGCAGCTGAGGCGCTTGACACCCAGCCTCGAGCAACACATTACCAAGCTCCTGCGGTCCACGAGTTGAATCGCGCCGGGGTCTTGGAAGAGGTGCAGGCGCAGGGCTTCCTCCCCAAGACCGTCTGCTGGCGCAAGCTGGACGGCGAAGTGATTGCCACGCTCAGCAGCGAGGGAATGGATCTCCCAGAAGCAGACAAGATGCACTGCCTCCCTCTCGATCGACTGGGTAAGATCCTGCAAAGTCACCTGTTGCAGCAAAAGACCGCGAAGATCCTCTGGAACCATAAGGTCACGGGTATCAGTCAGACGGATGAGAAAGCATTTGTCGACGTGGAGACTCCCGATGGGCCGCAGAAGCTCGAAGCCGACTATATCATCGGTTGCGATGGCGCAAGTAGCCAGATCCGAAGATCGCTCTTCGGAGACTGGGAGTTTCCAGGCCGGACTTGGGATGAGCAGATTGTGGCAACCAATGTGCGTTGGTCCGAGTCGCTAATGGCTACAGTCGTGATAGGGAATATTTTGCTAACCGTTACCGTTCAGACCTACTACCCATTCGACAAGTTTGGTTACAAGGAATCGAACTTTATCATTCATCCTGAGCACTGGCACAGTAAGTGATATCTATTTGAGCGTCTGTTTTCATTCAACTCGTGATCCGTCACCCCTAGTAGAGACCTGAATGTACTTTTCCTTAGCCACAAGCCATATCAATACATGCCATCACCCCGCAAGTGCTATACTGACACCGTTCTTCCCAACAGTGGCCGCAAAAATCTCCAACGACGGCCTCTGGAGAGTAACATACGGGGAGATCCCCGGCCTCACGAGAGAGGAGTTACTCGCACGCCAGCCAGAGAAATTCAAGAAAATCCTGCCAGGCTACTCAGGACCCGACTGCTACAAACTGGCAAGCATCAGTCCTTACAGGGTGCATCAACGACTAGCGAAACAGATGGTCGTCGGCCGCTTCATTCTCGCCGCCGACGCCGCGCATCTGTGTAACCCATTGTTAGTATCCAACCATGACTCCGAGTGAAACAATGTATAGTATATATATAAGTCCCGTCGACTAACTGCTTGCAACTACAGCGGCGGTCTGGGCCTCACGGGCGGAATCGTAGATGTGGGCGGGCTGTACGACTGCCTGGTTGGCATCTACGAGCGCCAAGCCGACCCATCCATCCTGGCGAGGTACGACGAGATCCGCCGCGAGAAGTACACCACGTTTGTGGATCCTATGTCGACCGCGAACCTGCGACTCCTCTTCGAGACCGATCCCGACGCGGCGCTCGAGAGCAGCGAGTTCCTGAAGATGTGTAAGCGCGCCGAGACGGATCGCGCGTTCGCGAAGGAGTTGCAGATGGGGATCAAGGCGTTGCAGCATGACTTTACGGCGGAATACGGGAAGGCGGTTTCGCTGTTGTAGGAGTTTGAATTATATGATTTGCAATCCAATCTGATATGCTTATATACATATATACCTTCCATCGGTAGATTTTGTGACGGCATACGAGAAGGTCGCGTTGTCATCTTTTGCTCGGACGGTTTCATCGATGACGTTCAGTGTTTTCTTGATGCTATCTGCTTGCACCATTGAAGCATTGATCTAATCCTTCAGACGAAGCTACCCCGATCGCATCCTCTTCTGCCTTTTGCATTTGAAATCTGACTTGTACCTGGGTATGTCATGTGTATACAATAGAGCAATGCCAGCACAACCCTACTTTCAGATCCATCAAAGACTTGTGCCAGTATTGATCATCAAGCTTCGGGTTCCAAAGCGGCACATGTGACATCGGCCAATGTGAAAGATAGTTGTTGGCTTGGATGTAATATCAGAATATGGATGATCATAGCCCTGGGTAGAATAGACGTCGCTTATGATTTACATATATACCTTATACAGAAGATAGACTCGGGAACTTATTTATATCCACTGTAGGCAAGAGTAGCGATTGCTTCAAATCTGCAGCAAATATCTATCCACCCGCACAGAACTCACTAAAACTGACCACGCGTAAGAATAGAATGCCAAGAATCAAGATATATATCCAAAATGGAATTCTCATTGTTAGTATGGGCTCATTTCAAAATAAGCTGTTCGCCCCGACTTTTGACGTCTGAAGCCAAGCCCTGCTGCACCCTACTACTCGCGGTTAAGGCGGTGAAATTCGTACTCGTATCGCGGGATATCGATTGAAGACCGTGCCATTTGGTCCAGCGCCAGTATATAAAAACCTTTTTAAATACGATGTTGGTAAGAATTCCGGTTTGTATACTGCGGCTTACAGAAACAGATAGTTTAAGACGATGTCTGACTTAAAGATATCAATCGAGTTTGTAGGAAAGATTTTGACCCACATTTCTTGTGATTTTGCAAGCTGCGCTGTAATGCTTGCAAATCTCTAATACTGTTAGTGGACTAGGTAGCGTCATTAAATTCACGGCGCATATGTTATTGAAGAAACGAAAATCATGATATCCATGCGTGGCCCTATTCTTTTGGGTCAACGATCAAGTCCCGCGTCAGCACCTTCCCTTTTTTTTTTTTTTTTTTTTTTCGACCTTCAAGCTTATAGGCTTATATATCAGCAACGACAACAATCCTAATCACCGTACCCTGTTGTCTACGTTTCGATTGTGGTGGTGAGGCTCGGGCTTTGGATTGGAAGTGGCCATCTCCAGGTTCATGTCCCTTTCATGGTCTCTTTATCGAGACTTCCAAGTCGTCGATGACGATATTGCTGGCTGTAGAAAGTCGGCGCAAAGAGTTATGCTAATGTTTGTACAGATACATGATAGCAATGGATGATCCACCCTAGCGAAACGACGAAGGGCACGAACGACTGTTACAATATAGTCGGAGCTGCGAGCATCCAAAAGTCCAAACTTGAACGCAGAGTCGGATCAGCTAGAGGATATGGCCAGATTGGCCAAAGATGCCCCGTTCAAACTTCAAAACCCTTACGCCAGCAAACGCCGCCTGGCCCATCGCCATCAGAGGCGCAGGAAGACAGATCTGCCATCGGAGATGCAAAAGGAGGATGACATTGATGAGATGGAGGGTGAAGACTCCCCTCTCCTTGAGCCTACCATCAACAGAACTCTCGCACAAGCTTCACCGATGCAGAAGAATCTCCTCGCACACGATGAGCGTATCCAGCGGACCAGACAACACAACGCTGCTTCAAAATGCCCCGCCTGTTACCAACAGAAGTCTTCCACAAGCTCCACCGACGAAACGGAACCTCCACGCACGAGGGTATATGATACAAAGTATAAATTCTATGCTCATCTGATCTTCTTCCATCCTGAACCATGGCTGTTAGAACTGAAGGCATCATGCATTCCGTTTCTTTATCCGATACCTTGATCGATGGTTGGAGAGCACCACCGATATGGGCTGGCACCAAATTTTCGAGGCTTGGGATAGGAACGACGACAGAGGCATCCCGATAGACTGATTGATGAACACGGACCTAGCTACCTCAGCCCGGCTCAGCTAAATACACCTGCGCTAGTGTGAACTGCTGACAGCTGTTCCCGTGACAGTCAATTATCTACCTCCTCCTCAGGGTCCCCCCCAGCTCCCCAGCTCCCCAGCTCTCGCTCCCTCCCGGTCGACCGTACCCCATACAATACCCCATACCCCGCACTTGTCGTTCCATACGGGCCGTGACCTGGGTAGATAGGTATATATAAATACAGATATATATACTTATACATATGTTTTATATATATAAATATATATATGCGTTTCACGTTTACCCCAGATTTTCGAATTGGCAAGCCAAGCAACAAGTCTGGACTCTCATCCCCACTTGGCCAAGCTTATTAGCTATTGACATTCAGTACCTACTCTGGAAACTCAAGCGACCCCACACATCCAGTTCGACGAGGTTCCTACACTGCGGACGATAGACGTGCTCCGGCCTTGATACGTCACGCGAAGGTCAAGAGTTGGGCCCAATACAGTATTGGCCCATGTCCGTACTCTTGTCCTCTTCCAGGAGTGTGAATCTGAAAAAATCCGGAGCCGAGAATCTGCAGTCCCAGGACCAGGACCTGTCTTTCGGGTTAGGAGCAGACCTCGTGGGTATAAGAAAAGGGTCCTCCACTCTACACTGTCCATCCTGATGCCCCTCTCCCCTCATCTTTGTCCACCTGAACATCCCGATCTAATATCAGCGCCTCATCCATATATTGATAATACAAAGTTGGTGTAGCCAGGAACTTCAGTTGAGTTCTCCTTTGATATCATCAACCGTCCCTCCACAGGAAACTAACATCATATCAGGTCTCGAAAAATCTGCCCCCACCCCAAGCCGACACGATGCCATTCGGCGGAATTCTCGAGGACAAGTCCCTACCCCACGTCCCCGGAACGGTCATTCTCAACGAAGAAGTCGCTCAGTAAGTTGAAACGGGCCCATCGCCATTCCCTCCTTATTGCGCGAGTGCCTCCATGAGCAGCTTGTGCACCCTGAGATCCCTCGCTGAAACTCTTCTTGCTGACGAACGCCGATCTTCCAGTTCCGAAGGCCTCACCGGAACTCTGCGCCATGGAAAAGGCAAAAATGCACACGTCGTCCTAGTGCCGCAGCCCAGTGATGACCCGAACGATCCCCTGAACTGGTCCTTCTATAAAAAGCTCTTCATCATGCTCACACTGGGTTTCGGCACCTGTCTATGCGCGGCGACTATCAGCCCGTTGCTGAACGCGGGTCTTTTTACCATTTCTCTCGAGTTTGGGCGACCCATAGGCGACATTACTTTGTTATCAGGATACCAACTTTTGGTTGCCGGGTCCACAGCCCCTTTCATCTCAGCTTTTTCGCGCAAGTATGGGAAGCGGCCCTGCTTCCTGTTCTCGTCTCTCTTCGGGCTCATTGGATCCATCATCGGCTCCGTCTCGGACAGCTACGATGGCCTCCTGGCCGCCCGGGTCGTGCAAGGCTTCTCGCTCGCGGCCTACGAAAGCCTGGTCGTATCTACCATCGGGGATCTCTACTTTGTCCACGAGCGCGGCGTGTACAGTTCCTGCATGCAGTTCCTGCTCGGAGGCGTGTCCAACTTCTCCAGCGTTATTACGGGTCAGGTCACGGCGGAGCTGGGATGGAAGTGGCTCTTCCACCTCCTGATCATCATGCTCGGCCTGCAGACCGCCCTGCTCTTCCTCTTCTGCCCGGAGACATCCTACAACCGGGACAAGCGGTACGAGATCGATACTACGGCGAGTGACGACCTCGGCGTCGAGAAGGCCGAGGTTGGACACGTCGAAGACAAAGCGAGTGATCAATCCGAGGAGACGGCGCAGCCCACGCTCCAGCCGATTCCAGCCGGCCCCGTCCCGGCCAGGAAGACGTTCTGGCAGGAGCTGGCCGTCTTCACCGGCAGCTACTCGGACGAGAACCTGCTCCAGCTGGTGATCGCCCCGTTTGCCGTGTGCCTCAACGTCGCCGTTCTCTGGGTGGTGGTGGTCTCCGGTTTTGTTACCTCCGCGTACGTCGCGCAGGCGTACGTGCTCGCGCAGATCTTCTCCCAGCCGCCGTACCTGCTCACGCCAGCTGGCGTCGGCAACCTCTCGCTGGGCCCCTTCGTGGGCGGCATCTTGGGTGCCATCGCCATCGCCCTCGTGCTGGACCCGAGCATCAAGTGGCTCAGTGCGCGGAACCACGGCGTCTACGAGCCCGAGTACCGCCTTGCGATCATGGTCCTCGGCCTCGTCTGCGGCGGCGCCCTCATGGCCTGGGGCGAGATGCTCGACGACACGGTGAACCTGTACGCGTGCGCGGTCATGCACGGCGTCGTCATCTTCGGCGTCATGGGTGTTGCCATCGGCTCCGCCGCCTACGCCCTCGACGCCTACCGGGACATGAGCAACGAGATCTTCGTCTCTGGCATCATCCTCAAGAACTTCCTGTTCTACGCCTACTCGTATTTCGTCAACGACTGGACCGCCGACGCGGGTCCGGCCGAGGTGTTCTTCGTCTTTGGCGGGGCTGTGATCGCCCTGACCCTGACCACGATCCCTCTCTACGTCTACGGTAAAAGGTAAGAAGCGCGTGGGATGCTCCTCTCCGATGGATTGAACATGTTTTTATCTTCTCTTCCTTTTCGCAGTACGAGGCTAACATGTTTGTGTGTGTGTGTCTTTAGATATCGCGCGTATTGGTTCCAGCATAACCTGCTCGCCAAGTTCAATATCCGCACACATGCGGAAATTTGAGAGAGAGCGAGAGAGAGCGAGAGACAGCGAGAGATAGCGAGGGAGAGAGTGACCGAAAACAGGTCGACCCGTGTTCGATCGTGCGGGGGTTCAGGCTAGGACGATCAGGAACACCTCTGCTCTGCCGTGGAGACTTCATCACCTCTGATCGATCCCTATCCCCAACTCGTCATCTTACCCTAATCAGTCAGTCGGCGCAGTTCTCAGGGGAGTTCTCAGGGGGGCTCTCAGGGGGGTTCTCGTTCTCGGGAAGGGGGGCTCCTGGCTGGGCTTTCCCTTTCTCTCGCTTCTCTCCGAGCACAGCGTATTCGGTCTGTATACATATATACATATATGTATGTATATATATATATATTTCTTTTTTAAAAAAATTATGATGATGACAAAATGTTCAAATGACAAGATTAGCTCCAGGAGCACGCATTGGCGCTAGTTAAGAGAAAAAAAGATGTACGTACGTATGTATGTATGTATGTATATATGTAGATGAGTAGATGATAAGGTATGTACGGAAGTGTGTGTGGTGTAATACATGTGTGCGGGTGTGTGTGTGGGGGTACTGTAGTAAGTGGTCAAGATAAGGTTAGCCGGACGAATTTTCGATCTCAAATGCTGAAGGTATGATTTTAGATCGCTTGAGACGAGATGGGATCAGCTCAGACCTAGGTATATCGGTAGATAAGTACTTGGATATGTAAGTAGGTAGATGTCGTTAATCACGTAATAGTTGACACGTCCTTTGGCATCGTTCCGGGGCGAGTAAAGTTTGAATAGTGTGCGCTCTGTCGTGATGATTTACCTAGGTATGTAGAAGGAAAAAAAAACGGGTTTCTGTTTACTTTGATTCAGTTCGCTTCGATTTATAAATGTATGTATGTATATATGTATGTATATATATATATGTATATATACAGTAGACTTAGGTGAACAAACAATAATTGAATATCAAATAGAAACATCGTTCATTAATAACAACTAGAGTGGTTTGCCCAAAGGGATCAGCTCGCGCGCGGCCGCTCGCATCTCGTCGTCTATAAGCGACATCAAAGTCGGATCCGTCCCTCGAACCATCCACTCCTCGTCATGCGCGAGGGCAACGTGGCAGTGCAGGTCCGCTTCCATGATCCGGATGCGCCGGATAGTATCTCGTGCGGCGTCTTCGTCGGCTTGCAGCGAAGCGCGGCAGCCGTCGGGCAGATGCCACGATCCGAAATCCTCCAACCCATCCAAGAGCCGTCTACCTTCCCGGGTTAGCCAAATGTGAAAAATTTTCCCTCGATCGAGAAAACGCTCTGGCGGTATCGTACCTGGAGTGGCAGCAATCGCTTCCGAGCAGCACCCACTGGTCGCCGTCGACGTGGGCCACCGCGCACAGATTGCCCGGCATGTGACCCGGCGCCTGCACGATCCACAAGCTGCCGTTGCCAAAGAAGTCCATGGCCTGGTCAAAGGGGCCGAAGCGCACCCACGGACCGCGAAACTCCTCCCATCTCTGCGTGCGTCGGACGGGGTCGAAGAAATGGCCATCCCATTGCACCGTTGCGTTGGCCTCGGGGGACGACAGATGGCCAGGGGCACAGTGCTCTGCGGTGCCGGGGCCAAAGTAGCCACAAGCGGCGGGAAATTCTGCATCGATCGGCCTTGAATGGTCCCAGTGGGCATGACTGGGTCCAGGTATTAGTAGGTCAGTACATGTACATGTCTATATCTAAATGTATATAGGTTGGGCCCTATTGATGGCTATGGTGGTGTCGTTACTATCGTACCTGAAAAGAACCGAGTCGATCTGATGGGCGCCAACGCCTCTCTTTTCCAGCTGTTCGGCCAGAGACTGTCGGGGACCGACGGCATCAACACTCTTCAGCAGCTTCTGTACCACGAGTGGGTAGCTCGTTTGATCCTTGATAGTCATCGTCAGTCTCACGATTTTTTATTCAGGGAAAGGCAGCGGCCGGCGGAGCTCCTCTCTCTCACTTGATCAATCCCGACATCCCACAAAACGTGACGTCCGCTCTCTTTATCTTTGGCGTAGAATGCCCAGGTACTATGAAAGCATCCATGGTCAGCCAGTCTTAAAAGTCCAGGCAGAGCTGCAGGAGTCTGTGTTACGTTGCCGGAACCCGCCGACTCGAGTCTCTCGGGCTGCGGGCTACGGCAGAGCAGCGATACTCACTACATTCTGAACTTCCCGGAGCCTCCGGCGTGAACCATTCCTCGGTCAGCGATAAAACTTCCCCCGTCGAGACAGTGAAGCTCCACATACGAAGCACCCTGCGGCAGTGGCGAGATTCGTGGGGTTGCCATTGAGTCAGCTCTGAGCTATTTCTTCGCCAGGATATCGCTGATCACGAAAGAAAAAGAGAGAGTAATGAATCAATCGAAATAGTTTCGGGTAACCTTCCCTTTGTAAGAATTCCCGAGAATTTCCCTCACTCTACTGACTGCATCTGTCACCTTTCTCTGTGGAGTTTTGGCCCGCTGCGATATTGAGAGGTAGTCCAATGATGCATGGCTTCCTTGGTGTGGGGTACACAATTGGGGGGGGGGGAGGGGGAGCTTTAACGCATGAGATGGAGCGACCCCCCCCCTACGTTTAGATATATCGCTCCAAAACCATGGGAGGTCACTTTGATCACAGTTCGCTCAAGACACAATTTTGCTCGAGAGAAATTCACTTGGAAAAATGAAAAGACAATATGACAGCGAGTCGGAAACGACGGTGGATGTGAGCGCCACACGCAGAAAAACCATGCCGATCACTTACGGTTTCATCGGTCTGGGTGCCATGGGATATCCCATGGCGCTTAACGTCCGCCAGAAATCATCCCAGGACAGTCCCCTCTACATCTTCGATGTGTACCAGCCAAGCTGCGAAAAGTTCGTCGCCGAAACCAAGTCCCACGGGCCCGTACATATTGCAAAGTCGGCGAGGGAGGTCGCCGATGCCGCGGACGTGATCATCTCCATCATTCCTGCAGCATCGCATGTCCGAAGTGCGTACCTGAACGAGGTCGACGGCATCCTGGCGGCAAAGAAGAATAGCGACCGGCTCATGCTGGAGTGTAGCACCATCGACTCCCAGACGGCGCGCGAGGTGGGCACGACTTTGAAAGAGGCCGGGAGCGGGACCTATGTCGACACTCCCGTCTCGGTATGTCCCCTTCCATACCTCTTGCGCCCTCCCAAGAAGAACCTCGTACTGATGAGCGCCTCCAGGGTGGCGTCCCCGGTGCTCTTGCGGGCACCCTCTCGTTCTTGATCGGGGCCCCGGAGCCTGTGGACGGGTCCGCGGCGGCTGCTAGCCACCGGCATCTCGCCTCGACCATGGCGATGATGGGCTCGCCCGAGAAGTTCTTCTTCTGCGGCAAGCTGGGGGCCGGTCTCGCGGCCAAGATCAGCAACAACTACCTGTCGGGGACCATCCTCCTCGCCAGTGCCGAGGCGATGGCGTTCGGCATCAAGTCCGGTATCGACAAGCACCTGCTCTACAAGGTCATCCAGAACTCGACGGGCCAGAGCTTCATGTGCGATCACGTGAACCCTGTGCCGGGCGTCGTGGCGCACGCTCCGGCCAGCCGGGACTATGAAGGCGGCTTCAAGGCGCAGATGATGGTGAAGGATATGACCTTGGGGGTCGATGCGGCTGCCGCGGTGGGTATCAAGGCGAGCACCGGCGCGGCGGCGTTGGAGGTATACAAGCAGTCTGCCGTTGATCCTCGATGTGTTGATCGCGACGTATCGGTTGTCTACCGGTTCTTGGAAGGTCCGGAATGAATCTTGCTGGCACGCAAGCTCGCCATTCTCGCAGGGACATGGGCTATGGCATTCTTGTACTCATCGGTTCCTGGTCCACGATGGACCGAGTGGGAAATGGAAACTTGAAAGTTGATTTAGAACCTGTTTTCGGCGACTTTTGAATTGCAAGTGAAATGCCATGGACGTTGATGAAAGGTTTTCCGGCTCGGTTGCGGAGTTAACAGGGCTTAGTAGTCTCAGCCCTCAAGATCAAACCAAACGAATGCAAGAGAACGAGAAAATTGACTTGGGAACTACTGTCCGGAGATTCTTGGATGTACTAGTACGTAGTACATACTAGTAGTAGTACATAGTAGTACCTATCCGCAAGGGTCTTTTTGCATAAGGTACCTTACCCATTCATATGCGGAACGGAGTATTCCGTAAAGCATATTTAATCGAGCCCCGCCCTCTTCCTCTTAAATCTACGTACTACGTCCCAGGCGTAAGTATTAGCCCTCGAGGGTGCCTCCAAAGTTTAGTTCCAACTATAAAACCCCTGGCTACCCGACCCTCAAGGGGTAAATACTTACGCCTAGGACGTAGCACAACGTACTACGGTACCTCCTACTACGTCAAGGCTATTGCTTGACCAAGGAAGATCAATCAGCCTACTCTACTTGGCGTCGGCTTTTGAACATCCAGCAACCCCTTCGATGAAAGGGTCTTGTTTGGGGACGGACCAAAATATGGATAAACGTAGTATCCGCGGTCATCCTTACGGAGAAGAAATAGGTAGGGCTACCCTTCCATCCTAAGAACAAAGAGAAAAGGGATTTTGGCTTTTGTTTCTCTTCGTCTTCTTTGATTTGGTGGTTAATTGTGAATAAGGTGCAAGCAAGATTCGATAGTGGGGCGCCACGATCGACCGGTCTCACTTTGGCCCGACAGGTCCCATCGATATTTGAACTCTATAACGGAAGATCTATAGGGCTCGAAGGTGACAAGGTTGCGCTAGTTTAAAAAGGCTGTCGTCATGCTGATACGGTACTGTATTGAATGAAGTCCTACCGGTAGTAAGTAGGAGCAGTTACTAAAGACTCTTACCGTACCACTTGCAAGAGCGACTTCGGGGATAACCTACGGAGTACGCCCACCAAATCCTGTCCATTCCCACGGGTGTCTAAGAATATCCAATTGGGTAAGAATACCCTTATTGACAAGACTGCCAAACCGATTATTGGAAAATAAGGATATTGGCGAGATATAGTTGTTCTGTACCTATGACGCAGATATAGTAGTACTACGTACATAGGTAGTAGTAGTTGTACTGTACGGACCTGGAAGATCCCGGATCTTGCGACTTGCCCAGATGTGACTTTGGAAAATCCATGTTCGCTACCCCGCAAGTTGTACTCCGCACAACTGGGTAGTACGGTACGTAGGTATGGTAGGTACCGGTAGTACAGTACCGGTAGTAGTACTACGTACTTCCACTTCATACTCGTTAAACGACAGGACACAGCCACCCCATCGTTGTTTATCCCCCACATGAACTCCAAAACCCCACCACGGTACTTTCGGCAGTTCACTTCGTCAGACGGTTGGTCTATAAGGCTCAGACGCTTTATATGGCTGATGTTATCCATCACCCTCCATCAGGCCTAGATCTGACCACTAGTCATATTCCTCGTCTCTCGTACATCACAAGTCAATAGACTACCTATTCCTATCATCATGACGGCCCAACTCTCCAACCCCAAAGAGTATCAAGAAATCTTTCACTGGGCTTCGACCCAGAAAGATGGCACCATCCCAGCCTTTGGAACCCGAAAGAATGATCCATATGAGGTAGGCCATCTCGTAGTTGACAAGTCCATCAACATTGCTGACGTTCTCTCAGTACCAACCAGGATTCAATAATTCGTAATCGCCCTCGGTAAAATTTGAAGCAGATCAACATGCTCACTATTCTCAGTTTTGTTTCAGAGGCGGTCCCCGGAACTCTTCCACAGGGACAGAACTCTCCGAGAAACATTCGATTCGGTCTCTACGCCGAACAGATGACCGCCTCTGCCTTTGTTGCTCCGAGACACCTGAACAAGAAAGCATGGCTCTATCGTGCCAGACCATCCGTGGCCCATCAGGGATTTGTGAGTTTACCCAAACCTCATCGGCATCTCCAGCTCGCCATTCATGTGTGCTTATCAACCACAGGTCGATCTGCCCGACAACCCCGACACCGAGTCAAACTTCCTGCCCATGAACCCCAGGGTGCATGTCTCTCCAACACAGCTCGCATGGCTTCCGTTCGAGATCCCCGCGGGCAACGACGTGGATTTCATTGCTGGATTGAAGACCCTTGCAGGTTCCGGTGACCCAACCCTCCGCGAGGGCATCGCCACGCACATCTATGCTGCCAACACGGACATGAAGAACACGGCCTTTGTCAACTCCGACGGCGACTACCTCATCTGTCCTCAGCAAGGCGCCTTGGACATCCAAACCGAGTTCGGCATGCTGTTCGTGCAGCCTGGGGAGATCGTCGTCATCCAGCGTGGCCAGAAGTTCAAGGTCGCCCTCCCGGATGGACCCTCGCGAGGTTACATCCTGGAGATCTGGGGATCCAACTTTGAACTGCCCGAGCTCGGCCCCCTGGGAGCCAACGGCCTCGCCAACGCCCGGGACTTCCTCCACCCCGTGGCCAAGTACGAGATCAACCTCGACGGTTGGGGCATCGTGTACAAGCTCGCGGGCAAGTACTTCAAGAGCAGCCAGCAGCACAGCCCCTTCGACGTCGTCGCCTGGCACGGCAACTACGTCCCCTTCAAGTACGACCTCACCAAGTTCGTCAACGTCGGCTCCATCTCCGTCGACCACATCGACCCCAGCATCTTCTGCGTGCTGACCGCCCGCTCGCGCGACCCGGCCAGCCCCCTCGCCGACTTCCTCATCTTCTCGCCGCGCTGGGACGCCGCCTCGCACACCTACCGGCCGCCCTACTACCACCGGAACGTCGCCTCGGAGTTCATGGGCCTCCTGTACGGCCACTACGGCGGCCGCTCCGACTCCTTCCAGCCCGGCGGCGCCTCCTACGAGTGCGGCATGGTGCCGCACGGCGTCGCCTACGAGGAGTTCAAGGCCGCGACCGAGAACGCGCCGCCCGTGTCGACCATCTCCAACGGGACCGTGGCCTTCATGTTCGAGAGCTCGCGGCCCTTCACCATCACCGACTACGCCTGGAACAGCGAGAAGAAGCACGAGCACGACCCCAAGATGTGGGATAACCTCGTCGGTAAGCAGATGCAATCCGTCCGCGTCAAGACAGGCATGTCCACCCACTGACTGACTACGCCCCCAGACAACTTCTCCAAGCACGAAGAAGAAGTCAAGCAGCTGCTGGCCCTTCGTCCCGCCCCGGTGAATGGAACCAGGTAGTACGTAGTATGTAGTAGTAGCAGCAGCAGCAGCAGTTGATCATCGCGCATCGCCATTCCGCATCCATCCAGCTTCATCTCGCACGTTACCTTCGTAGCCAGCCTAGAAAGCCAAAATGAATTAAAAAAAAAAATTCATCTCATCGTCCATCGTCCGTCCGAGGGTCTCTCCGCTATCAAAATAAAACACACGCACTTTTACCTACCTCTACTCCCTCCCCTTCCGTGCCCTATCCTACCTACGGCCCTGTAGATTGAAATCCTCAGATGTAACACGATACGACATGAATGAGCTAAGCGAGATCCTCTGGCGGGCCTTACCTTCCTTTTCTTCTTCTTCTTCTCCTCCTATATCCATTCGTCCATCCGTTCGTAAATAATACAATTGAAGTTCTTGGCGGCGGATCTGGCTGCGGACTGGTAGTTCAAGTGAATGAACTAAAGATTGGTAGAGGGAAGGGAGCTCTTCACGTCTGTTTTTATTCTTTTTCCCTTTTTGGGGGGGAGGGGGAGGGGGGGCTTCGAGTGTGAAATGTGAAATGTGAGATATGAGGGAATAACAGGGAGAGTCGACGGAAGATGGGATGTGGATGTGCATGGGAGTGTGAAGGCTTGGGGAGGTTGCTGGCTCAGAGGCCGTTCATCTGTTTGTTTACCTTTGTGGCGAGATGGAGCTTGAGGATGGGATGAAGCGTAAGGGGTAGGATGGTGAGGAGGCGAGGAGGCGAGGCCGAGATGGGTGATTGAGTTTTCTTGTTTCGTCTTCCTCTCCTTCTTTTGGGATATGTTGCCTAGTCTGGGACTGGATATTGGGTTGGAGCGGAACAAGGGGGGTTCGTAGATGTCACGAGATTGCTTGTTTATCCTTTCGTTTCTTGATTCGTTCATTCGTTCATTCATTTGTTCATTGATTCATTCATTCATTCATTCATTCACTCTTCAATCCCCTCCCTCTCAAACTCTCAAATTCCAGCCAAAACAAAACATATATACATCGCAAATTTACCAGTCCTACTCCGAGTCCGAGTCCGAGTCCGAGTCCTAGTACGCCTACCCATCAAGGGAGAATCCGCCGCTGCCCCTCGTCCACATCAGCACTCAGCTTCTGGCCCATCCACGCCGTCCTCGTCCGCTCGAGCCCCTCCTCGAAATCGACCGCCTCGTGGCCCGCCACGAAGAGCGACAGCCCATTGAGATGCGGCCGCACGACCGGGATCAGGAGCGCCCTGGCGACGCCGATCGGCTCGTTCGCGGGCAGGTCGCCCCAGACCCGGAGGAACTCGGGCAGGAGCATGGGCGTCTCTGTCGATTTGGTGAGTGAGGCTGATGAGGTCCTCGGGAGACAGGAGAATGTATGGGGTTCGGGGGAGGGGAGGGGAGCGGGAGGGGGAGAGGAAGAGACTTACTGGTCATCCATGGGGCGACCATGTTGATGGTGACGTTCATGGTCTTGGGGAGTTGCGTGCGGAGGGCACGCATCAGGCCCATGACGCCCGCTTTGCTGGCGCAGTAGCTGTATAGCGGGGGCGTGTCGAGGAAACTGGAGAAGAGGGCTGGCGTTAGATCGGATTCCCACCCGGGATCTCTGGAGAGAGAAAAAAGAAAGACAATTTTTTAATTTTTTTGAAGAAAAACACCCGGGCTCTAGAAGAGGAAAAAGGGGGTAGAGTTGTTTGAGCAAGAGGTGCCGAAGCGAGAGGTGCCGAAGCGAGAAAGAAAAACAGAAAGAAAAAGGGGGCGACGTCTCCAAGTCCCATCCCACGTACCAGGCAGCACTCCCCGTCAGGACCAGCTGGCAGGGCTTCCCAGCCTGCTTCTTGAAGTAGTGCAGGGCACACTTGACGGTATACAGCGCACCGATCAGGTCGACATTGAGCGTGGTCAGGTTCGGCGCCGACAGCTTCCCACTCGCGGCGTCGATCTGGTCCTCGAAGACCTTGCCCACCTCGCTGACGCCGGCGTTGGCGAGCACGACATCGATACCCCCGAATTTGATCTGGCCGGCCTGGAAGAGCTCAAGCACGTCATCCCACTGCGACACGTCACATTTCCGGAAGAGCGCGCGTCTGAAGGCCGGCAAGAGACGGTTAGGTTGTGATCATGCTTGACGTGGGTGGGGGATGTAGCATATATAGCATATATATATATATGTATATATTCAACGGGAGACTCACTCTGGTCCAAGGGCAGATTCGATAGCCTGGCCTTCTTTCTCTAGGACATCTCCGAGTATCAGATTCGCGCCGTTCTCTGCAGCAGGATTTTCGCCAAGTTAGTTCTCGCGAGCCTGGCCACACGTAGAAGCGAGTGAAGTGAGTAATTAAAGTAGGTAAAGTAAACATACGGAAAGCCAAATCGACAGTTGCCCTTCCGATACCCGTCGCACATCCTGTGATGAGGATAGTCTTCCCCTGCAGCTTGGAGAACTCGGCATCGTCGACCTTGATTGTTGTCATTTCTGATATTTTTTTCTGCTAAAGATGAATGATTAAACAAATAGAGAGACTTTAAACGAGTTTCTGTCTATCTGGCTGGCTGGCTGGCTGGCTGGATGAAATGTTGAGTATAAGTAAGTAAGCGAATCTTGGGGTTGTGTTCAGGTTGTGTTTGGATGTAAGCGAAAATCGATCCATCGACGACTCCCTTTTTGTTACTGTACGAACTAACGCGACCGACCTGGGGACGGTTTGAAAGTTCCGGAACAATCGGGGATGCGATAGGGATGTGGAGTGTGGGGTACAGATCGCGGGGAAGAGGGTCTGCGGAGAAATTGAAGGAAAGATTTTGTTTGCATGGTTATACCCTCCGTTCCCCTTTCCCCTTTTCCCCTAAAGTCGTGACGCCAAGGCCCACGACTATTACCCCACAAAAGCACCACCTGGTAGCAAAGGCCCTCCTTTTCAATGCCCTTTGGGTACGGATGG